AGACAGTAACTCTCCTTTGTCTTCAGCCCGTAGTAACCTCTCCGAGCTACCCCTTATCAGTGCAATCACGTGTTACTTGTCCTTTCCTGTTTGGCTTCCTTCACTGAGCACCTTGCTTCCAGGCTCATCTGTGCGGTAGCATGTGTCCAAAGTTCACTGCTTTTTTATGAATGAACAGTACTCCACTGTGTGTATTTTTGAGGATTTATATTTTAGCGAGAGAGAGAAAGCAGGGGGTAGAGGAGAGGAAGAGGGAGAGAGAAACCTAAGCAGACTCCCTACTGAATGTGGAGCCCGACATGGGACTCAATCTCATGACCCCAAGATCAGATCTGAGCTGAAACCAAGAATCAGACACTCAACCGACTGCACCCCCCTGTATAATGATCACATTTCATCTGTCCCTGTTAATGGACAGTAGGCTGCGTCCATCTCTTGACTCTTGTAATGCTGCTGTGTTTGTGGGCCTACAGGTTATCAGCTGGGGTCCCTGCTTTCCCTTCTTCTGGGTGCACACACACTGGAAGTAGGAGTGCAGGCAGTTGGAAGCCCCCTTTTCTCCACCTTATCTCGTTCTCTTCCCTCGCTCTCCCCCCAGAGGCAACCACTTTCCTGAGGCAATATAACTTCACTGTAACATGTCATTAAAAATTTTAAACTACATGTATGACAGTACATACGGTGTTGTAAACTTGTTTTCACCCAACATTTTTAAGGTGTATTCACATGAATGAAGACAGCTCCTGCATCTCTTGTATTATACACTTCAACTGCTGCATTTAAAAAAAAAATTTTTTTTAGGGGCATCTGGGTGGCTCAGTCTGTTAAGCTTCTGCCTTTGTTCAGGTCATGATCTGCAGGTCCTGGGATCAAGTCCCACATCAGGCCCCCCACCCCTTAGCAGGGAGTCTGCTTCTCCCTCTCCCCTGCTCCTGTTCTCTTTCCCTCCTCTCAAATAAATGAATAAAATCTTTAAAAAATTTTTTAAAAGTTTTTATTTAATCTCTACACCCAACGTGGGGGTCAAAATCACAACCCTGAGATCAAGAGTCACATGCTCTTCTGACTGAGCCAGCCAGGCGCCCGGTAACTGCCCGTTATCTCACTACACACCTCACACGCTGTCATCAACCATTTTTTTCCCTGGTGGACACTGAGGTTACTAATTTTCTGGAATCTTTCATGAAACTGCCCTTTTAACTTGTCACCTTGTGCCCATGTACAAGGGCTTCTCTAAGATCCTTAGAAATGGAATTTGGGGTCACAGGCTACACTTATCTTCACCGAATCCCTGCCAGATCGCTCTCCGACATGGTTTTATTAGTCTGATATCCGTAAGGCAACATGCAGAATGTCAGCGACTCCGCTCTTTCCTGGGGTCTCCTCTAGTGACATCTGCCAGTCTGGTCCGAAACGGCATCTCTGTGGTTTTATTTTGCATTTCCTTGATTTCCGGTGAAGGGGAACATCTTTTTTGCTTCTCAGGTTGCATCCTCGGTGAACTGCCTGTTCCTATCCTTTGCCCAATTTTCAGCTGGATGTATGATTCTCAACACAAACCGTCAGCACGACGGATAGAAGAGTCCTGTGTTCTCTGACCTTGCCAGTTCTTATTTTTGGTCAGTTTTTCACTTTCTATCTTGACAGAGGCAAATGTCCTTATGCCTTGTGCTTTTGTGACGTCAAAAAAAAAAAATGCTCTTTACCTTACCTCCCTCCTTTAAAAAAAATATGGCTCTTAGATGAGTAAATATGGATCATTTTGAATGTTTGGTGGATGACCATGGTGTAACTGTCCTTCCACCCTGTCCTGTCCCCTGCCTTCCCAGACAAACTGCTATCTTTTTTTTTTTTAAGATTTTATTTATTTATTTGACAGAGAGAGAGATCACAAGTAAGCAGAGCAGCAGGCAGAGAAAGAGGGGGAAGCAGGCTCCCTGCTGAGAAGAGAGCCCGATGCGGGGCTCGATCCCAGGACCCTGAGATCATGACCTGAGCTGAAGGCAGAGGCTTAACCCACTGAGCACCCAGGCGCCCCGACAAACTGCTATCTTGAGCGCTGGGCTCACCACACACACGCACATGCCTACACCCAGTAGCTTTTGAACCCACGGTAGTACCAATTTTCTTCACTCAGCGTCCTTCCTGCTTCACCCACGGCACATGCGTAGCCAGAGTTGATGCGTTTTTGGCCTGAGTCATTTCTAGGTTCTTGTGATCAGGAAGTGCTGCCTGGGAGCACCTCTGGCCGTGCTTCCTGGGGACTTTCTAGTCGGAGCTTCAGAATGGAATTATTGCTGCTTTAGCCCCAAGCCCACAGCTGGGCTCCCTTTAGTGAGAACAGCCTCGGGCTGAGCAGGCCTTCCGTACTCGCGGGTTACACGCGGGTTACACGCCGTCTCGGCCGAGGCACCCCTGATCTTGCCCATCCCAAGTCGCAGCGCTCAGGGTCCTGAGGCCTGTGTCATCTCAGGGTTGCCTGTAGGTCTTGGAAGCGCCGAGTGAGGGGAACTTCCAAAGGCTACACAGCTCCCAACAGGCAGCCGCATTAGAGGCTGAGCCTCACGCCCTCCCCTGCACCTGCGGCTGTCAGGAGTCTTGAACCCTGAGCTGGTCTGAGGGACTGGGTAGGGCCTGGGGCCTGTACCCGAGACCAACAGGACCCTCCGCGGTGTGTGGGTCCGAGCAGCCAGGCAGCGCCAGCCTCCTGCAAGGTTCGGTGAGATCCATGGTGCACTTCTCAGTCTGAACTGACGCTTGTGCCTTCCTAACCTCGGAGGCCGCAGGGCCGGCACCAGGCACCCTGGAAGGGAGCGCCAGGCTGGAGAACCAGCCGTGAAGCTCAGTTTCTCCATCTGTTAAATGATCACCTGCGATAAGTTCTACTGGAGTCTCCAGACTCAGCTCTCGCATCCCTTCTGTTTTAGATCTATTTGAGAGCAAGCTCGTGCGCAGGAGCAGAGGGAGGGGCAGAGGACGAGGGAGAGGGAACCTCGGGCGACTCCCTGCTGAGCGCAGAGCCGGACGTGGGGCTTGAGCTCACGACCCTGAGATCATGACCTGAGCTGAAATCAAGAGTCAGAGGCTCAACTAAGCCCCCGGGCACCCCCATGCACCCCTAACTCTTGAAGACTTCCCTGACCTCACTGCCCACCATCCCTTACACTGGGCCATGACTGTTGGTCTCGCGTACCAGACTGGGAGCCCCCCAAAAGTTGTGCCTGAGGCCCAGAGCTCAAAACAGGGCCTGGGGTTGGTCAGAACTCTACCTGCCTTCTGCCGTATCACCTCACGGAGCAGGGTGTAGGAGGGTAAGGCATGGGTATCTGCCACCACCCAGCCAAGACAGACAGTGCCTGTTGCCTGAGTGGTCCACAGCCAATAAGGAAATGCTGCCCCTTAGAAAGCTTGGAGGGACCTCTTGAATTCAGTGGGAGGCACGGGCTCCCCAGGCGTGCCTGCTCTCTCAGGTAGGTGTTAAGGAGGGTCTGTTTAGCTGTCCTCCCACCACATGAGGCAAAGGGAAGGAAGGACCCCAAGGGAGGTGCCCTCCACTGCAGGCCCTATGGCCAGACACCCCATGGTGGCTTCCCAGCCAAGCTCAACCCTGTGACATGACCTTGCTAGCCAGACCCAGGGGTTCCTGACAGTGCAGCCAGTGAGGCTTGTGGCAAAATCTGGACAGTGTCTGGCTTAGCCAGGTCCATCGATGGAGCAGTGCAGCGGCTGGGGGCGCTACAGCCCAAAGGCTCGGTGAAGGGTAAGATGAGGCTGGACAGCTGAAACAAGCCCAGCTCCAGACCCTCAGCGCCCAGAGGAAGAGATCCTTCCACGTTCCCTGACCCCGAGGACTCATGGCCCACTCCTGGGCATGAACTGCCCAGCTGTCCATGGGGAGCTGGCACGTCCGTGCCCCATGGGACCATACAAGGTGGGCGCAGGGGCGCTTCTGTGGATGGACAAACCCGTACAGACTGAGGTGGGACTCCAAGTACTAAGCCCCATCTACCCACCTTAAGGTGAAAGACTACGCAGTCCCCATGCTTGCCACAGATGACTTTATTTGTGAAGCCCCGGGCACAGCCCAGACACACAAAGAGCGCAAAGGGGAAAACACAGAGTGTGGGGGGGGCGGCTCCAGCGCAGTCCCCACCCTGTCCTGGTCCTTTAGGAGCCTCTGAGCCACAGCTCAGGCTCCGTGGGCCCCGCCCCCAGGGGCCGGACACCAGATTTGGGCCTGCCAAAAAGCACCCTCCAGCATGGCCCCCAGGCCAGTCACAAACATCTCAGCAGCAAGGCACGGGCCCCACTGGGTCTGGAGCCCGCACCATCCACCCAACAAGTCCTGCTCCTAGACCCCCAGGGTCTGCCACCGGCTTCTCTTCCTGTCCACATGGCCTGGGAACCAGAGTCTTGCCTTCTGCTGACCGTCCCATGGGCCCACGCCCGTGGCAGTCTCTGCAGTCCAGGCCGAGAGATCAGCCCAGCAGTGATGGACAGTGTGGATGGCAGTGGCCACGGGACCAGGTGCTTAGTGACAGGAGGCAAGGTCAGCCACTAAGTGAGCAGCCCCAGGCAGGGCGGGAAACGCAGCCCAGCCGCGACACAGAGGGAAGGGATGGCAGATAGCAGCTCCCCAGGCTTTGGGGCAGCCCAGCAGGGCAGGGAAGGCAAGGTGGGAGAGGACAGCCACCAGGGCCTCGGGCTGGAGGCGCGGATCAGCAGAGCGCCCTCACACGGCAAGGAGTTTAATGGCAGCGCAGCTTGCAGCCCTTTCGGGGGGCCAGCTCCCCTCCAGTGGGACCAGGGCCAGTCCAGCAGGGAGACATTAAAAACCCCAACCCTGACAGGAAGCGCACACCTGCACGCGCACCACACCGACACGCACACTCGGGGACGGACACGACACAAGCGACAAAGACCCTCCCTGCCTCTGGCTGGCTAGAGTCCTTCATCCGCGTCCCTTCCCAAGTCACTGGTCCAGGCCGCGGGCTGGCAGGCTGGGGAGAGGCTGGCTTCGCATCTAGACCTTGTACAGCGTCTGCAGCAGACTGTGGCGGGCAAAGGAGCAGGACTCCAGGGCACCATTGGGCCTGTGAGGAAAGAAGAGTCAATGTAGGGGGCGGGAGGGAACCCACACAGCTCGGGCCGGAGACCTCAGGCTGCAGCAGGGCCACCATCCCCACTGTGGAGGGGGGGATGGGGGCCGTTTCTGAGGCCAGAAATGTGTCTGTTTCTCGGACCTTCACGAGGACTCTGTGGGGGAGATGACAGGAGCCCGCCTTCTGTACGCTGCGGGGTGGGGTGTGTATGAAGCTCAGAGCGGCGGGAACCCAGGCCCTACTCTCCACCCGGCAGCCTGTGCGAGGGCCCTTCCGGCGGCCACAGGGCCCCTCACAGATAATGGGCTGGCCACTGTCACCGTGAAGATCATGAATCTCACTACAGAGAAAGAAAGGCAGCTTGGCGAGTGTGGGGTGCAGCCAGGATGTGCGGCCCACAGACATCTGACCAGACCACTGGGCCAGGAGTCGAGGGAGGGGGAACGTGCCTGTCACTCTGTGGTCACCTCAAAGGGGGCCTAAGGGACAACTTTTACCAATTCCCCTCTTTTAAGTGGAATAGACAAGGCCTATGCTGGGGGTGGGGCACACAGCCTGCCACTGACCAACAGCACCAAGGGCGAGGGTCTCTTCTTGTGGGTCCACAACCAGCCCAAGGGCAACAGAAAGGCAAAAGGAACAACTCTGACCAGAGGCTGAAAGGAACCGGGCTTTGTCAGGTGGTGGCAGGCAGGGCCAGGGCAGGGCCAGGGCCAGGAGATGCTCCACGGAACTAAGCCCACGCAGCGGGAACAGGCACGGGGGAGAGTGCACCCGAGCGGGGAAGGGGGGGCAGGGACACGGAGCTGCAGCCAGGGTGAGGGCCTGCCCTGGACTCTGGCAGAGGGCCAAACACTCAGCTCTTCCCTCAGCACGGGGCTCGAACTCATGGCCCCAAGATGGAGAGTCACAGGCTCCACCGACTGGGCCAGCCAGGCGTCCACAGCTCGACTTTTCACAACGGCCAGTCTAGGTGCCGCGGAAGGGGTGGTGTCGGCCACAGCGGCGGCGGGGGGTAGGTGTGGTGGTGGCAGGTGGGCAGACATACGAGAGCACGAGGCCCAAGGAGCACAACGGACCACAAGATGTCATGGTGGCCAAGAGGCCGTGGCGCCGACAGTCCTAGAAGCTGGCGGGGATCCTCACCACACGGAGCCAGACGACCCCGCAACACGCGTTCACCTCCGCCAGGCAAGGACTGTGCTATGCTCTCTCCCCGCTGCCTACCTTCCCCCAAGGCACTGGATTCCCAGCAAGTGTGGAGGGTCCGAGCCACCAGAGACAACCTCATTCAACAGCTTGGTGGGCAGATGGGGAGACTAAGGCCTGAGGAAGGCCTGGAGGGGACTGGGGCCACGGAGGACCTCAGTGAGGACAGGGGACAAGCCTTCCGACCCATCCCTCACAGGCGCTGGGGTGCGAAGGCTCCTTGTTACCCAACGTGGCCACTGCCCCACCATGGCCCAGGACCCTCCTGCAGGACAAGGCGAAGGTTTCCAGGCTCTGAGCATCTGGTGTCTGCAGGCGAGAGGCCTGTGGCTGCGGCAGGCGGGTGTGACAGGCCCTCTAGCTTCAGCCCTGTGGCCTACGGAACGGACAGAACTGCTCCCAGAGACATCACTGAGGACGGAACACCGAGCAGCACAGCGAAGCTGGGCAACTCTCCAGCGCTGCTTCCTCATGGGGAAACGGGCGGCCATTCCACGTCCTCGGTCTCTCTCAGGAAAAGGCACCGGGGGAGACACCTGAACACAGATGCTGAGAGCCCCGCACAAGGGGAAGCCTCCGTGGACTAGGGGTTGCATACGCGGGGTGCGGCTGCCCTGGGGGCTCCGAGGGCACACTCACTTGGTCACGAATGCCAGCAGCAGGGGTGCGAGGGCCTTGGGAAAGTAGTCTTGCTGCACCATGTGGTTCAGCGCCATCAGAGGGCCGTACAAGTTGGCAATGGCCTTGATCTTGTCTTCACTCTGTGAAGGGAACACACAGCACAAGGCAGAGTGAGCTACAAGGCCCCCTGGGGTGGCTGAGGTCAAGCTGAGTCCCATCACGAAGGGAGGGGGCTTAAACGGCCCCGGGCCCCAGCAGGACTCTGGTGTGGGTCGGGGTGGGTGGGTAGGCGTGGCCCGAGCTGCCCCTGGTGTCCCCCCTCCCTCCCCCGCAGCCGCACCTTGAGTAGACCCATGTGAATGAGGAGCCGAGTGAGGAAGGCGTTGGAGTTGAAGGAGGGGGCGCTGAAGGCCTTCTTCATCAAGGCATCTGCAACGCAGAAGCGGCCATGGGGCAGCAAGTTTGTTGCAGCAAACGGCTGCCCACCGGCCAAGGGCACGCAGCCCCGGCACACATGGGCTGGGGCCCGCCTCCTGCACGAGTCAGCCCAACACAGGGCGGCAGACTGCGGTCACGGGCCCCAGGCTGAGGGGACAGCCAGCACCGAGGGAAAGGCTCAACCCGCCCGCTGTGACACCTTGCCCTTCTCGTCCTGACCTCACACACTGAAAAGGGGCTTGGGAACCTTGCATGACCGGGGCTGGTGGGGGTGGGGGGCGGCGGGGGTGGAGATGAAGGGAGGCAGATCACCCGGGGGGAGGTTCCAGCCATTCTGTGGGGGCAAAAGGGGATGAGCAGAGACGGGAAGGAAAGGAGGGGTGGGGGGTCTACAGACACTGTGTGGCTACGCGCTGCCAGGCAGCTGTTCCGGGGAACAGAATTCAGGTAATTTGTTCCCATCAATGCGCACGGGGCTGGGACCACAAGGAGCAGACTTACGGGTTCCACTGGCCTCGCCAGCCTACCTAGCCTCGCTCCCCACCAGCTCTCCTGCCTCAATGCCGCCCACAGCACACCAATCCAGGACAAAGCGCCACACGGAGCCCCACTCCTCTCTACCCTGTTCCCGTGCTGAGCTCCTCATCCCCTCCCTGCCTGACCAAGCCTGGCCACCCGGCGGGGCTCACACATGCGTGCTCAAGGTGAGCAGCGGACAGGTGCTATCATGGAAACAGCAGAGGGAGTGGGGTAGCGAGGGAGGGTCACGACCAGACGAGAGAGATCTCAGGAAGCCCTGGGAACGCTGTGGGGAAAGCAGGCATCCTGCAGGCTTCCAGGTGGGGTGGGGGGACTGTGCGGGAGGCTCACGGATGAGGACAAAAGCTCATGACCTCTCCTCTGGGCGGGCCGCCCCCGGAAGGGCCTTGCGGCTGTCACTATCTGGTCTTCCTACGGCAGATGCCACCTGGATGAGATCCAACTAGACATAACTGTACGGCTCTGGAAAGGCCTCTGTTCCCCAATCCGTAAAAAAGACAGTACCGCAGCTAGCCTGCTCCACGGCAAGAACTCAACAAAAGAAAAGGCATAAGAGGGCGGAGAGTGGTGCACACATCAGCACTGTGACCAGGGGCTCCAGCAACTAGAAACGTCACCTGAGCGTCACCTGAGCCCGGAGGCAGCAAGGAGGCAGAGCCAGCCACACCCAAGCCAAGCCGCCTTACCTACTGCGTCCTGCACAGCTGTCCTCACCGCGGCTTCGTCCTTAAACACAGAGGACACCTTCAGGAAGGCGGAGACCACCTTTTCTGGGTCAGAGGTGTCAGTCTGAGGACACAGGAGACAACAGCTGGTCATCAGGGGCCAGAGCTCCAGGGAAGGTGTGCCTGCACACCGTTGCGGGCTGGAGGAGACCTGTGTCTCGCCAAGGCCTCCGGGGGTAGGGGGGTAAAGGATGGGTCCTGCCTCACCCCACGCTGTCCCCTCGAGCTAGGCAAGGGCCTGACCCACAGCGGTATATAGTCCACACAGCCCATAAGTCCACATAACCACGGTCATTCCCATGACCCAGTGGGCCCCTTCGGATAATCCAAGCTGAACGGATACCACAGAAATGACATTCACGAGCAAGGAAGCTTAACCTCATGCAAGTGGAGACAAGGAGAAAGAACACGAGTGTCGAGACACAGCACAGGCCTAAGTGTGACCTCCACTCACGGGGACGGAGGGGACGACAACGGTTTTGCTGACAGTTTTGCTGACACATGTCAACAGGAGATGACAACTGGTATTAGAGGAAAAAGTGGGCCTTTCATCCCATGTATCACGGGAAGGAAGAAAAGAACACAAATAAAACATAAAAAGGACATCAGCCAAAATGCCAAGCCAGCTCGGAGAGTGGACTATCGAATTTCTCTGCATTTATCACTTATGCTCATCGAAACGGTTTCCTCATCTGTAACACACGGTAAAAGGGTCCACATGGTGGGCTGCCAAAAGCCTTCAATACCAGAACCATGTCAGAAGACTCAGGACAGTGCCTGACAGACAGGAGGTGCCCGACAGCCGCCGCAGACGATCTGGGCAGTGAGCCAACATGCCAGGCGGCAGCAGGGGCCCGGCAGGCACGTGGCCTCCGCGGGAGCCCCAGGAGGACAAGGGTGGGAGGCGGAGCCTAGGTGTGTGCGCACCAGAGGGTCCTGGGAGAACTCCCTAAGTCTCCAGGTGTCACTGGGTGCTGCGTGCCTGCCCGTTGGTGGCCCGCGTACGTTCCCAGCAGCGCATCATCTGCAGCCCCCGGAGGCAGACAGACACGCGGGTCACACTCACTCGTGTTTCTGTGGGTTTAAAAAACAAACGTCTATGTATCTACCCAGAGGATACAAACACAGTGATCTGAAGGGGTCCCTGCACCCCGGTGCTTATGGTGGCAAGGGCCACTGTAGCTAAACTAGGCAAAGAGCCCAGCTGTGCATCGACAGATGAAGGGATAAGGATGTGCGATACAAACGGAGTACTACTCAGCCGTCCAAAATGGAATCTGTTACAATCCGCGATGACGTGGATGGAACTAGAGGATATTATGCTAAGCAAAGTAAGTCCGATAAAACCAAATATATGATTTCACCCATATGTGGACTTTAAGAAACAAAACAGATGAACACAGGAGAAGGGAAGGAAAAGAAAGAACAGAGAGAAAGGCAAACCGTAAGACTCTCACCTACCGGGAACAAACTGCGGGCTGCCGGAGTCAGGTGGGGGAGGGGACGGGGTGACGGGGGGTGGGCATTAAGGACACTTGATCGCATGAACACGGGGTGTTCAGTGCAACCAATGAGTCACTAAACTCCGCCCCCGAAACTAAAACACACACAAACACCGGGCAGCCCCCCGTTCCCACTGGCCGCGTCCCCTCCCAAGCCCGGGCTCTGCTGGTCCCTGTCTTCCTGCGGCTCCAGAAACCGCAGCTCGCACGGGCCTGGAGCTGGCGGCGCTGTTACCCACCTGCTGGGCTATCAGCACTGAGCTCTTGGGTCCGAGGCGCAGCAGCTTCTCCGGAGAGGGGAAAGCCAGGAACGTGGAGACGTCTGCGGGCGGCGGGGTGGACAGCACGGGGGCTGGCTCCTGAGGGACAGGGGGCACAGATGGCTCTAGAATAGTCCAAACCCAGACTCCTCACCCAGAACAAGCACCCCTCACTCTGGGGGACTAATGCTCGGAGTCCAGTCTTCCTCCCGCTCACAGGCAGGCCCCCAAAGGCTGAGGGGCCCACAGATGCTTCCCTGACTGGCTCCTAGTGCAAGAGCCTCTGGGGTGGGGGCAAGCCCCCTCCTTAGGCCAAGTAGCTCCTCCCTAGGACACACAATGTCCCAGAAGTGACGCAGGAGGCATGTGGGGGCGAAAGGGGACCCCACCAGGAACTCGAGTGGAGCCGGGGGAAGCACCATAGGTGCCCAGCCATTGGCTCGAATGCTTTCCTAAACTGGGAAAAAAGTGAAATTCAACGTGAGCGCAGGGGTCCTTGTCCAACCCGTAGTTCTCCAGACGCTGCACTTGGGAGTCTGTGAGGGAACAGACTACGGCCGTCCTGTCGACATCAGCCTCTTAGTGAAGCAAGTGGGACACCAAGTGTCCCAGATGGGCCAGTCTCCAGAACGGGGGGCTGTCCCTACGGGTCACCTAAATGGATAGGAAAAGAGTTTCTATTTGTGCTGATTTTTACCCTATTCTTTCAGAAATATTTATACGTGTTTCGTAAGAAACAGTGTAGCCGCATAACACACGCTATAACCCCGTCACGGCGCACAAATGAACGCCCCTGTGCCGGGGACAGCGTAAGCAGACAGCAGTACAGCCACACAGCGAAGATTTTCTTCTTTTACTCACAGGCGTGTGTGTTCAAAAACACTTTGCTCCCAGGGTACCTAAGCGGATTCCACACCCACCCTGTGAAGATGCCTCGGGATTTCACATCCGAGGGCCCGGGCTCTGACCCTGGCAAACGACAAGGAACTCACTCCGCTGTTCGGGTCCAGAATCTTCCTTGACGGTGTAGATGGCTCCTCTCCTTGCCCCTGCTGTGGCTCTTCCTCCTCCTCCTCCTCTTCCTCCTCCTCCTCTTCATCTTCTTCCTCTTCCTCCTCCTCTTCTCCTTCCTCTTCCTCCTCCTCCTCCTCCTCCTCCTCATCATCCTCGCCCTCGTCATCGCTGCAGAGGGGAGTTGGCTACAGCAGACCCTCCCTGCCCAGTGGCCTACGTTGGCGCCAAGGCCTGGCTCCACACACCCACACACCCCAGGCACGTGGGAGGGAGCCCGCAGAGGCCTGGGGGAGCAGCTGCTCCTGGGGTGGGGGCCACGTGGGTCAGCAGGGAGCCCACTGCTCCCCCAAGGAAGCCCATGTCGTGAACACAGAAGAAACAGATCTCATCCCTGTCCCACATGGGCCCCAGTCCCACTGGGGAAACAGAGAAAAAGAAGAAAATGGTCTGTCACAGCTGACTTGGCAGGAACACTGCCCAGGCTGAGATGCCAAGACTGTGCCACCCATGTCTCACTGCCCACAGAAAGCTGCGGCTGCAGGGAACAGGGGAAGGGGGGCTTCTGGAACCACGAGCCTCTTGAGGCCATCGCTGAGCCCCCGGTTCTCAGCGGTGGCACCGGCCTAGCCCTGAGGGGACACAAGTGAGGGGCTGCAGATGAATTAAGGAGACCTGGGGGCTAGAAGGGCAGAGGCAACTGGATGCTGACGGCCCACACGACTCCTATCCAGATGGAGGAGACACCCCGCCACCCCGGCCCCTGCTCCCCCTCCACGTGGGGCCCGCAAACCCCGAACTCCCCACTCGCTTGTACCATCTTCCTTTCCAGACCCCGTCTCCAAGTCTGATTGTACGAACAATCCTGAGCCAGCCCAGCACCCCCGACCCTGACTTCACTGCTCCCCACCTTAGCGGTCAGCTCAGATCAAAGCTCATCCCTTTGGAAGCCCCCCCAGCTCACCCACACCAAAGGGTGACCGTTCTCAGGCTCTTCCTGCCTCTTTGCTGAACACACACGAACCCAACGTTCCTGGCCCACCCGCCGGAATGAAGTCTGAGTCCGAAACCTTCACGGTCTCCTCACACCCGTCGCCTTGCAGAGCACCTGGCACACACAGGGGCTCCAACAGCGGTTTCGGAGCGACTAAAAGCAGAACCACAGGTGCCGTGGCTCGCAGCCCCCTACCTGAGGGAGGCCAGCACCTTGGCCATGTTGAAGCCGTCCAGCACTTCCTGAAGCTGCTCGCAGCCCTCTTCTCCCAGTATGTTGCCTGTTCGTGGGCGGGATGGGGGAACAGGAGGAAGGAAGGTCAGGAGGGCAGCAGGGCCCACCTGGCAGGCCCAGGCCAAGGCACCGCCCCTCCTACCATTGAGGTCCAGCTTCTCCAGCTTGGTCTTGTCCGCCACGGCTTCAGCAACAGCCAGAGCAGCATCTCTCTTGATTTCACAGAACGACAAGTTCAGCTCCTAAAAATAAAAGGAGTAGAGTCAAACAGAACCACAGGCCAGGGGACCAGGTCCTACTGTGAAGCCTCTGTTTTCCCCACGGGAGGGTAAGGCAGGCTCTGTCCTCCAGCCGGGCAGAGTAACACGAAAATAAGGCCATTTCCCTCGTGGCGTGCCAGGCGCTGGGTACGTTCTCTTACGCTATACCCTCATGACCTCATTGCTCCGTCCTCCCATTTCAAAAATGAAGAAACCAGCTCCTATCACACAGGTGACAGGACTGCACAGCACGAGAGAGAAGATGTGGAAGGACTGAGCCACGAACCCAGGCCAACCCGGCCTTCAAGACTACCCCAGCCCTGCCCCGACGGCAGCAACCCAGGTGTGCGGGAAGCCCAGCCCCGCGAGGGGAGACACAGGCGGTGCCGGCACCTTCAGCTTGGGCAGGCCCCCGCGCACGGCCTCTGCGATGGCGACGGCACCCTTGGAGCGCACCAGGCAGTCCCCAAAGTTGATCACCTCCACCTGCCGCAAGGTCTTCAGCGTCTGCGAGGAAGAAGCGAAGGCCAGGGTGAGGGCGAGGGCCTCCGAGAGCTCATGGCTCACCCGGTCTGCCCCGTCGCCGTCCCTCTCACCTGGCCTTCCCAGAACTTCGTCAGCTTGCGTTCTCTCTCGGCTTCTGACGAACCTCCCTCCACCCTACTTCTGTGCTAAGGCCAGAACCTTCTCGAAGCCCAAATCTGACCAAGTCGAACCCCCAACTTAAAACCCTGCACACCTATTACTCATGGGAGAGCCTCGGCGTTAGCAAGGGCCCCCCCCACTCCCCGCCCCTCCTCCAGCCTTTAGACACACCCTGAACCCTGGTCATTTCAAACCAGGACCAGTGGAACAAGGCTCCCTTCCACCTCTGGGCCTCCCCCACGCTGCAGATCCCTCTGCCCAAAACACCCTTCTCTGTCCACAGTCCATTTGCCCTGCATGACTTGGTCAAAATGTGACCTCTTCCAGAAAGTCTTCCCTAAGTCTGACTTGAACTTCCTGTGTGTTCCCCTACCCTTGCCCACATTTTTTTTTTAATATTTTATTTGTTTATTTGACAGAGAGCTAGAGAGAGAGCACAAGTAAGCAGAGCGGCAGGGAGAGGGGGAGAGAGAGAAGCAGGCCTCTGCTGAGCAGGGAGCCTGATGCGGGGCTCGATCCCAGGACCCTGGAATCATGACCCGAGCCGAAGGCAGCCGCTTAACCAACTGAGCCACCCAGGGGCCCCCTTGCCCACATTTCTGCTAACACCCCACAGCAGGGAGACTAGGCTTTCGTGGGGCTTGGGGCCCTGTGAGGTCTCGACAGCCAGCCTGCCAGGTTCTGGCCCTGCGCTCTCGCTGGCCTCTCCCCTCCCTCCTGGAACTAGAGCTCCTTGGAGGCAGAGTCTGATTCAACTCTGCCTGGCCTGCACGAGGTACAGAGTTCAGTTAACAGCTGATGAAAGAATCAATGAGAAAAACAGAAGCCAGGCAGCCTCGGAGAACAAATCCAGCACCAACAGCTGGGTGTAGAGGCAGCTCAGAGGGAGGCAATATGGACATGCCCGAAAATGGCACAGGCAAGCCTGTGACATGTGCCCCACTCTGGAATGTTCAAAATAGCCGGGCACATACCTGGTGGAGGGGCAGAGGGGCTCACCTGATGAGGGTGTGTTCAAAAGGCAGCAGCCAGACCTGCTTACTTCCACCCTGGCCCCGCCACTCCCGCCTTACCTTGGCCATAGCCACGGCACCCTTCTCGGTGAAGGTGTTGTCGTTCAGGTTGATGACACGCAGCAGGGGGTTGATGGCGAAAGCCTGGGCCAGGGCCGTGACACCAGGGTGATTGATGCCATTCTGAGGCATGTGGACCTCCTCCAGAGTCCCAATGATCTGTGAGGGGCAGGAGGGACAGAGCAGGGTGGTGGGCTCCCGAGCTATCTAGGGATAGGCCCCGCACCCACAGTATCCAGCAGGCAAGAAGCGGAGGGGCTGCCATCAGCTCTGGCCCAGGTTTGCCTGTGGCTATGTGGGGGACGGATCTCAAAGCACAGCTTTGCGCAGGGTTGTATCTGATCCTCTCCACAATCTTGGGAGAGAGACCTACCTGGACAGAGAAGACTAGGGATCAGAAAGGCTAGTAAGTAACTCATGCAGGGTCACACCGCTCAGAACACAGGTTCCTGCATCACACACAGGTGTCCTCTACCCCACAAGAAGCTGGCCCAGGGGTCAGCCGCAGTCCGTCCCTGCAAACTGCATGCAGCTCCCGTGCCCGTCTTGCTCGGGGCTCTCCCGTGCTATTTACACAGCACAACCGGTGCCCCATGTTCCCTCCTGCTCTGCAGAGTGGAATCTTCTCCAACCGCCTAGCTCTTGTTCAGCCCAAACTTCCGACACCTCCTTCTCTCTGCATGGAAACTGCATCCTTATCTGTGGACATTTTCTTGATAGAATGACTCCTATGTTGTCTTCCTGTATATACCTCTCATTTTGGACACCTCCTCCCCAAGGAGGGCTTCCAGGATCCCCCTGCCCCTAGGCACGGTCCAGCACTCTTCTTCTCTGTGCACCCAGAGCACTGTCCTTCCTCTCTCTGTTTCTCATCCTGGACTATCGGTGCCACCTTCCTGTCTACACCCCACCAGCCTCTGAGCTCCCAAGGAGAGCCACGTCCCAGCCTCTACTGCTACCAAGGATCGAGGCCAGGCCCGCGAGGACTCTCCACCTAGGGGCCTTCTGTAGTTCTGTGGTGCCCAGAACAGCACAGGGGGTTCACAGATAAATGAAGGCAGGCAGGCCAGCAAAGGAATATTACCAGTCAGGGCTTCTCGGTATCTTCTCGTACCAGACCCTTTGGGCCATCTGCTAAAGCCCCTGGCTCCCTCCTGAACATACTTTAAAATTTTAAGATAAATCATACAGGACTACAAAGGAAATCCATTCAACTGGAAGAGAATCCTCAAAATATTTAGAAAAAAACCCAAATGTGTGCTGCCGCAGTAGATGCCCTCCTCGGTACAGAGGCACCAAGTAATGGTACCCACGGGCAAGCCCACCACTACCGCGATTCTGATGAGCAGGAAACAGAGGTTCCTACATCTCTGTAACAACTGTGACTTGGTGTGAAAAATCTGTGATTTCTATACTTGACACAGTCACGGGCATTCTGAACGTTGCTGAGATTTATTCTATGTTCACGATTCAAGGTAGCACTACATTTTAGTTACTTTAGTGGTTGTCAACCATGCAATCTCCCCCATCCACGTTCAAAGACTCCCTGAATTCTACCCACAGACTAGAGACAGCCCAGGGACCCTGTGTGAAGAGCCCCGCTCTAAGGGCACTGGAGGACGTCTGCCGGCGGCTCGCACTCACACAGCACACCATTTCCCAGCCCACTTCCCAGTCCACCAGGGACAGCAACCGGGCTGGGGGCAGGGGATGGTGCAGAGAAGGTGTAACCTTTAACAGCACAGTGTTCACAGGGATGGCAACCGGGCTCCCCAGCTCTGACGGCAGCAGGAGCTCCCTGCAGCCAGGGGTCCAGTAAGACCCAGGGCACCTTCCGTTGTTATGCTCCCTCTCTGCCCGAGGTGAGCTCCGGCAGGGAGAAGGTGGGGAATGCCGCTCTGGCCTGAGTGTGGTTAATGCTGCCTACGATACTGTTTGCCAAAGAAATCGTTTAAATTAAGAGAAAAGAAAGACTCCAAGGTTCCCAGGGCCTTGGGGCAGGCATGGCCCTCTCATGGAGCTCATGGTCAGGGTCTCAACAGTGTCCTGGGGTGGGGGGGGCAGGGCACTGGTGCAGCAGTCAAAGGTGAAGGGAGAATGGGAGGGGAGGCAAAGGGGATAGGGCACCTGAGCCACTGCTGCCTGGCCTCCCCCTCTCAAAGGTAAGTTTGACGACTCCATCTCTGTGCCCCACCCAGTCGAGGCCAGAGACATGGACCCTCTATGAGCCCAGGCGAGCGCCGTGCCAGGCTGTCATCCCACTCACCGCTCGGGCACCCCGCTGCCACTTCTGAGCCCAGCAGACCTCACCCACCGATCAGAGCAACCCCACAGTCTTCTCAAACACCACTCCAGGGGGCCTCCACCAATGCACCGGCAGTGGAGGACAGTGCACAGGAATTCTGCCCCGCTGCAGAAGGAGCCAGCAGGTGCAGAGGGGGAGGCAACTCACCCTAGGCCTCCCAGCTCAACTCCAGAGCTGAATGTATACCAGCTTTGTCACCCTGCAAAGCTCAGCCTGTCTCAGGGTGTGGTGGGGCCAGGCATGCAAGAGCCACTCACCCCGAAAGCTTCCGCCAAGGCAGTGGCTCCATCGTTCTCCAGACGGTTTCTGCCAGCCACGAAGACCTTCAGGCCCAGCGGCTTGCCTTGGGCACTGGATTTCCGGTGACACTCAGTCAGAGCCGCTGCTAGGATCTGGTGGGGGGGAAGGCAAGCGGCCCAGCCCTGAGGCAGGAAGCCCTGTTTTTCAACATCCCATGCCACCTACTGGTGGCAGACCCAGGGACAAAGAACGGCTCATAGGCACCACGTCATACCGCACATGTGCTCAGCACCTTACAGCCGGCTCCGTGTGTGTGTCCCACTACCCTGTGGGGTCTAGCCTCGGGTGAGAGGTGGGGACACACCCCGGAAGGAAGGGAGACACCAACACGGAGAGGCCAACCGCAAGCCAGCTCCTGGGGAAGGGGCTTCCCGGTGAGCTCACTGTACAGCCAGAAGCCCTCCGTGGGGAGGACGGTGGTGATTCCCACTTTCCAGCCAAAGAACTGCAGGCTCCGAGAGGGATGGGGACATTCTTGTGGTTGTTAAACAAGTGGGAGACTGTAGACCAGAGCCCAAATCTTCTAGCACGTCTTCCACATCGCCCAATGCCTAAGGGGAGCTGGCCGAGACCATGGCTCTGCCTCGCGCCTCGGACCCATGGCTTGGGAGGTGTCAGGAGATAGCGTGTACCTGGTGATACCCACAGAGCAAACTGCTGGCCGGCTGCTGGGAATCCAGGGACCGTGGTAAATAAGATGGGGCAGTCATGAGAGTACGGGAGAGAGGCAACGTTCGGAGCGCGCCTCCTGGAGCACCCACGCTCTCGACAAAGGTACTTTCACACCTTCTCATTTCAACATTTCAACAAACTGAGCCTAGGAAGCAGGTGGTATTGGCTTGACTCTATTAGCAAGGAAGCCAGGGCTCAGAGAGGGAACTGTGCCGGCCAAGGTCCCACGGCAAATGGGCAGGGGAGCCCCAAATGACAGCTGCATCAGCCTGACTGCACAGCTCTGCGTCTCTGGGGGCCAGTAGGGCCAGAAGGGCAACCACCAGCCTGACTCCTGGTGGGCTGTGCACAGGCTCAAGACTGTGGACTTCCGCTGTAACCAGCCTCCTAAGTAACTTCTGGGGAGGCGGGAACCAACTGCACCAGGGGATCCCATTCTCCCTGGTTCCTTCTGGGGCCACCATGGTAAGGCCACAGCACCTACTAAAGTCCAACCGGGAGACTCTGGGTCTGGAGAGCTCCAAGCACAGGGCTACATCTCACTCCCAGTGAGTCCTTCGGGCCCCTGCAGTTCCGTGTGTGTGGCACACAGGCCACAGTGAATGCATTCCAGCAGGAGGGACTAGATTCCGCGGGACTGGGAGACCTTGGCGCTTGCAGCTCCCAAGAGGCACAGGTCAGCAAGGCCAGCACCCAAAAGATGCAACAAGAGGGTCTCACTGAATCAGAGTATGGGAGGTAAAGACAAGTACATGTCAAATACGAGAGTGGAGGGTGCCTGCGTGGCTCAGTCAGTTAAGCATCTGCCTTCGGCTCTGGTCATCCTCCCAGGGTCCCAAGATTGAGCCCCGCATTGGGCTCCCTGCTCAGCAGAGAGCCTGCTTCTCCCTCTCCCTCTCCCTGCTGTTCTCCCTACTTGTGTTCTCTATCTCTCTGTCAGATAAATAAATAAAATCTTAAAAAAAAAAAATAAAAATAAAACCCATGGGGCACCTGGGTGGCTCAGTGGGTTAAAGCCTCTGCCTTTGGCTCAGGTCATGATCCCAGGGTCCTGGGATCAAGCCCCGCATTGGGCTGTCTGCTCAGCAGGGAGTCTGCTTCCCGCCCCCGCTCTGCCTGCCTCTCTGCCTACTTGTGATCCCTGTCAAATAAATAAATAAAATCTTTAAAAAAACAAAAAACAAACAAACAAACAAAAACCCCAGAGTGGAGCTGGGCTGCCAGGGAGGCTCCCCTGGCCACAGGGTTCAGTCTTTGTCCCTAAGCCATGCCACACTCCTAGGCAGCTCTAGGAGCCTCAGGTCCCCTGGCTGGCCACGTGGCAGAGGAGAGCCGATGGTAAAGCTGGGGCACTTCCCAGGTGTGTCTCCAGCTCCCTCAGCACACCCTGCTCTAAGTTGGGCTGGACCTATTTTCTGTGCTGATGCCAACATGTTAATGTCTTCACACACGTGCACAGCTTATTGCCCAATTAGACGGGGGTGGGGGGCGTGGGGCTGGCGGGGCAGGCTGAGCCGGCCTTCCCTCCCATGGGGCAAGAGGCAGCAGGCACCCCTTACAGGGGAGGCCGCTCTGGCTCCTCAGGCTGGGGCACCAGGAGCACAACACCAGCTCCTCTTGCTGCTCTAACGGGCACGAAAGCAGGTTCAAATCCCTTAGTCCCACCCCAGCGATGCCATCTGGGGACTTGACCCAAGATTTCTAACCCCAAATCCACTTAGGTAGAAAAATGGGAATAGCATCACCCCCTTCTTGGTGGGGGTGGGAGAATCAGGGTAATGCACTTAAGACATCTTCAGAGAGAAGATGTTCCCAGTTGCTGTAGGTCCCCGTGTCCCAGACTTTTTCTCCTTTTGGTCAGAATGTGCAGAACGCTGAATGGGGATAGGGAGGATGGGAACTGGCCTTTCTAGTGTCTGGGCCTAAAGGAGCCAGAATGGACGAAAAAAGAGAACCAGCTAGGTTGGGCTCCCTCAGTGCAGGCTCTGGGAAGAGAAGAGACGCTTTTCCACACAGACCAGCGGACCAGCTGGCAGGATGGGGGAGGCACCTCGAGCAAGGCCCAGTCCAGGAAAAAGGTGAGCTGTGCCCAGGCCTAAGCGGTTTCTCTTCCTGGGCTCTCTCCCCCTCGCACACGCCGGGCCTCACGTGGCTCTGCAGGCCGTTCCGAGGGCACAGCAGGTCTGGGACGCCCCAGCCCGGCGCTCTGCAGAGCCAGCAGACACTGCCTCTGTGTTGCCAAGACAACGCGAGAACTGGGGATGGTTGCTAGGCAACCCCACCCTCCAGGCCTCCACCTCCTCTCCCCACTGGCCACAGGCTGCTGCCTTTGAGGCTTTTCTCCTCTGGAGAGAAAAGCACCGGGCCAGCCATCCCAGATGGCGGCCACGAGCACATACTTCCTGCTCCACGCAGCAGGACAGCGGGCAGGCAGGCAGGCAGGGAGGGAGGGGGACGTGGCGGAGGGCCCGCCGCACCCACCTTGCCGCCGCCGATGCCCATGCCACAGTTGTTGAGCTTGAGCTCGTGGAGGGTGAAGCAGGCGGAGCTCTTGAGCAGGGCCTCAAAGCCTCGCACACCGTCGGGCCCGAAGGCGTTGTCGCTCAGGTCCAGCTCCACCAGCTGCGCCCCGGCGGTGATGAGTCCCTCTCCTAGTGAGGTCTGGACACAGAGAAAGTTCGGCTCAGTTTCACGGACACCTCCCGGAGGCAGCTTCTATGCCAGGTGCCCCCTGCCCTCAGCGGGCACCCAGGCAGAGACACAGACCATTTCACTACAGACTGTCCCTATTTTACACCCGGGACCAGAAACCCTGAAGAAGGCTCCCAGTTCAGGTGGGGCGTGGGGTCTGGTATGCAGGGGGTGGTCAGAGAAAGCTTCCTAGCAGAAGTGGCGCTTGAGCTCAGCTGAATGAGAACCAGTCAACCGGACATGAGATTCCAGCCAACGGTACAAACGTGAACAGAGACACATAAGCGTGAGGCAGCATACTGCGTGTCTGGAGACAAGCAGTGGCCTCCGAAAGAGGCTGATACTGGAAGGAAGAGAGGAACCACATCAGGCTAGAGTCCTGGATGTCAGGCCAAGGACCGTGAACCTGAGCCTGAGAGCTCTGAGGACTCTGATGTGGGGGGAGGGCTACCGAAGACACATCCCCCAAACCTGAGGAGGGCAGACTGGAGGCCGAGAGCCTGCCCAAGAGTGGGAGGCAGTGATCCAGGCAGCAGAGGAGGGAGCTGGCTGGCCAGGGTTGTGGGGGACAGAAGAGGAAACAGCCTCAGGTCGGTTCTAGGTCCCACAGAGGGAAGAAGACCTGCACTTCAGGGCACGGGCAGCAAGGAGGCAGGCCCCGCTGATGCCCCCAGGGTTCCTGGTGGTGACTGGACAGATGGGTGCTTATCTCCAAGCCGCAGCCCAAGACCAACATGGCAGGATGCTATGCTCTCCTGGGAACGGGCTGGGCTGGGGATACCTACGGTTTCCCACGAAGAGAAGGGTGAGGACAGGTGGCCCTGCCAGAGACTGAGGGCAGAAACAGGGCTGGGCATGCATCCTGCACGGGGTTCCCAGTGGACAGAGTCAGGGAGGGGAAACGCTCTCCCTCCCTCAGCCACAAACAAGAAAGCGGAGGTACTTTCCAGTACCCTCTCCACCACTGCCTCAGCAACGGAGTTACATTCTCTGGCTGCCCCTGCCCACAGAAAGGGGAGGGGCCTGGCCCCACTGGCCTCCCGCCCTCCAGCTACCAGAGCTGCAGAAACCCTCTGTGTCTGCCCTACCTTCCCTGCATCTCCTGCCTTTCTCTGACCCCAAATTCTCTTTCCCCCTTTCTAAGACTCACTCTGGTCATCAGTAATACGGAGATAAAAATACCTCCCTCAAGGGCGCCTGGGTGGCTCAGTCGTTAAGCATCTGCCTTCAGTTCAGGTCATGATCCCAGGGTACTGGGATCAAGCCCCCCATTGGGATCCCTGCTCTGCAGAGAGCCTGCTTCTCCCTCTCCCACTCCCCCTGCTTGTGTTCCCTCCCTATCTCTCTGTCAAATAAATGAAATAAATAAATAAAATCTTAAAACAAAACAAAACAAAACCTCTCTCAAAGATTGAAAAACTTAAATGTTAAAAATCAGGTAAAACAATGCACACGGGGCCCACAGTTCCTATATCCCAAGTACGTTTTCTTCACCCCCTCTTCTAACTTTAAATCCTTATTACTTATAAACCCCCAAATGAATTTACTTAACCTACACCCTAAATCCTCCCTTCACCTGTTCTTGGTCACCCTTTGAGGCCGGTAACTAACAGAACCGGCTCCCAAAGGGCTTCCTCAATCCCTCAACAGAGGAGCCCTCCCTCTGGGGTCCCCATTAGGGCACCTATCACTCCCTGAATGACCCTTAATTGTTTACTGGACTGAGGTGAATCATCATCATCATCATTATACTAACTTATTAGCTTATTAATACATTCATTCATTCATTCATTCAAATGGAAGCTCTATGCCCAATGTGGGGCTTGAACTTGACCCGAAGATGGAGCCATTTGCTCTACCATTGGAATCAGCCAGGTGCCCCCAGGCTAAAGTGATTTAGAAATGAAGGGAGTCCCTGGGCACCTCGGGAACCACAGTGCTAGCCAGAGGCATGGAGGTCTAAGAAGGTAGGCCCAGCACAACCAGGGTGAGAGACCTAGTAACAGACACCCATACCAATAATTGGCCAAGAACCTCACCCTGAAGGCTGGGCCCCATGTTACTGAAAGGCTATCTATTACCTGCCTCTTTCCTTGAGCCCCAGGCCAGCCACAATCTGCTCAGTGACGCCCCTTCCTGACCCACCCAACCCCAGGCTGGGAACCGGACCCAACCCAAGCTGAGTCCCAGGAATGGGGAAATGGAAAGCAGAGTAGATGGAAGCCACCCACACCATGAGAAGCAAAGGAATGGAACAGTGCAAAGGTAAGAGGGAGAAGAGTGGAGGGAGTGAGAGTCACAGTGGAGTGAAGCCACAAAGCTCGGGAATGAACCCCAGGACCCCGGGGCTCTGCTGCACTGCCTGTGACTGGGCCTCGTGTCCCCAGAGGCTCGGCCCCTACCCACTGGCTCTGTCACAGCCTGGACATCCACCTGCCTGTCAGGACACAGGCAGACGCTGCACTTGCTGGGCTTCCGTTCTGCGTCTCAGTCCCCCACAGCGTGAACAAGGTGTGAAAACAGACCTGAGAGTTACCAAAGGGGTCACGGTGCCCAGAGGAAGGGAACTGTGGCCCAGTGCACCTACCAGAGCTGGCGGGATCTCGGACCGCAGCCTCCCGGTGAACATGTCGCTCCAGTGGCATCGCTTTGGAAGGAGAAGGGAGAGAGGAGTCAGTAGAGGTCCGCAGACGTGGCCTGCGGGCGACGCCTCACCCGTGCAACCCACGGGCTGCTGAGCCTTACAATACTTCCGAAGTTGGGTTTCCTCAGCAAAACGCTGGTCCAGCTCTGGCTGAAGCTGGGGGTACCTGGAGGCCCCAAAGGCCACACATGGCTCAACAGAAGTGTGGGGAAAACCCTGATCTGCCCAACCCTCTCGTTTTCCAGGAGAGAAACCAGGCTGAGAAGGAAGAGACTGGCCCCAGGCCCCAAGCAGGCCAGTGGCAGGGCCAGGGCCAATACACCAGACTCCCTGTTTCCAAAACCAGTTTCCCATACACTGGGCCCAAGCGACACGTGACAGGATTTGGGTGGCAGAGGTGGTAAGCAAGCAATACAGGGAAACCAGCAGTGAGGAAGTTACTCGTTTTTCAAGGCTTTTTTAAAGTAATCTCTCTGCCCAGCATGGGGTTCACACTCATGATCCTGAGATCAAGAGTCTCCTGCTCTACTGCCTGAGCCAGCTGGGAGCCCCCCAAGACTCTTCCCAGCCCTCCTGATCACCTCCAGAGGGCCGTCTTGCTTTGGGGCTGGTGGATCTTGCCCACCTCTCCACTTCTGGCTCGTCTGCCTTTTTTTTGTTTGTTTTGTTTTGTTTTAAAGATTTTATTTATTTGACAGAGAGAGGCAGCCAGAGAGGGAACACAAGCAGGGGGAGTGGCGGGGGTAAAGCAGGTTCCCCAACAAACAAGAAAACCTAGGCAGGGCTCGACCCCAGGACCCTGGGATCATGACCTGAGCCAAAGGCAGACGCTCAACAACTGAGTCACGCAGGCACCCCTTGTCTATGTTTTGAACAAAGCGTGAGCAGGCCTCATGCCCAGAAGGTTTAGGTGATAACCTTTAAGTGACGAGAATTTAATAATGCTATTTTGTTACTTTTATGGTAAAGAATACCATCTTCCATTTACAGAAGGGATCATGTTTGCTTTTGAATTACATCAAAGTGAGCTGATTTAAAAGAAAGTATTGGGTAAGGCCACAAAGGTGGTGGCCCTATGGCTAGACTGTGAGATGACACAAGCCAGAGGAATTTGGTCTCTAAGCACACAGCCCTACCCTCCAACTGTGGCAGCTCCAGCCTCTCCTGGGAATCTGGGAATGATGGAACCCAGAGAAAGCAACTTTCCCATGAAAATCCAGTCCTTGGAATGTATAAACTAAATCCAACCTTAAGTACCAGGGAAACCGATTTCTGTAGAATTCTCGAGGCCTCCAGTAGAGCAAATCACCAACACACATGGAGCCTTAGGAGACAGTCTACATGGGTCTGCTCAGTGAGGTACACCTGAATACAGGCGCTCAGGGCCAGGACAGGCAGCCAGAGCCCGAGCACTGGAACCCCTAACAACTGGCCTCTCACCCAGAAGCTTCCCCAACCCGGCTCTGATGGGCCAACAGTCAGCATGGGGTTTTGGGGCACAAGGATGAGGTTCCAATTCTGACTTAACCTGACTCCAGGCCTGCCACTCCCCACACCCCATCTTGAACCCCCAGTATCCCATCTCTGCAATACAGCATTTGGCCTCAACAGTCTCTAAGTGAGAGTGGTTACTGCAGAGCTATGAGGCTGGGCTGTCATCTGGGCCCAGTCCCAGCCCCCTCCTGACCCGTGTGGCTCTGGACCTCACCTCTCTCATCTGTCAAGACCTAGCTTGCGCCTGTGTCCAACAGGAGAGGGAGCATCTTCTCGCCCACCAGCACCCTGGCGAGCATTACTGGGGTCAAGGGTAGCTCCCCCCTGCCCCGGCCCTGACCCAGTGGGGGCAGGGCGACTCAAGGCCCTGGGCCTGCTCGGGATGACACAAAATGCATGTGGCCCTCTGGCGGCCATGCTCTCTCGTGACACAAGCCTACATCTTACCACGGCAACCTCACAGGGAAGAAAAAGGTTTCATAAAGGAGCCCAGACTCGGAGCGGAACTTGGTGCAAGCCCACAGAACACAAGGTGGCGGTACTGGGGCTTGAACCCAGACCCTCAGATGACAAACGTCAGGCCCAGGTCTTGTGTCCTCTGTTCCTGCCCTTCACTGGCCAGTGCGGAGGGTCGAGTTTTTTCCTAGGAAGATGTCCACGTGTCTGCTCAGGGAAACGATAGGCCGTGGGCAGGAGAGAAGATGCACCTAGCAACTAACCTGACCGTGATCCTCCTGAGGAAACACAGTAAGGGTCGCCCCACGAGCCAGCTCCAGGGCTGCACTGGGCAGATCCACACCATATGCCCTCGCCCTGCGCCCCTTCCCTTCAGCCACCACAGCGGGGTCAGGAAAGAGCAGCAGACTCCGGAATGTGCCAGGCTGACCAGCATTAGGATCTTGGGCTGTTTACTCAGCTCCTCCGAGCCTCCGTTCCCCTGACTTACAAACAGACCCAGTCTTTCTCATCTGGGATGCCCCAAGGACTGAGGACACGTGTCCTGCGTGCACTGAGCACCATCTGCAGCCGGAAAAGCGGGTCTCCCCTGCCCACGCCTCTGCACACCGGGATTCCCAGGAACGGAGAGCACACAGGGACTCCCCCATGACATTTGAAACACCTGATACCCCAACTCTTCTCACCGAGCATCTCGAGGGACTGCCGTTTAGTGGGACCCCCTTTAGGACACAATGGAATAGAAGGATCCCTGTGCCGGCCCAAGGGGAGCACCGCTTGGATCTAACCTTTAAGAAAGAACCCGCCATTCAGCATGAGGAGCGCAGTACCTTCCCAACCACCCCCGCCCCAGCCGCTGAGCGGAGGCCTGGCCACTTCTGCCCAACACGCAGCTCTTCTACGGGCACTGTTTGCTCTGGAGCTCCCGGCTAGGAAAAATCAGTGCTTGCCAGAAAGGCCCCATGGTCCAAGGCACCGGTGGCCCAAATCTGGGCCCTTCCCTCCTCACAGATGCCAAATCTGCAGTGCCAGCTGAAGGCTCACCCTGTCCATTTCTGCTTCATCCCCCTTCATCCTTCATGCATGTTACCCGATGAACCTCTGACACTCCTGTCTGTCACCGGGGGGTCCGAACGGATGCATCACACAGGGAGAGGGGCCCTGGCCAGGGCTGTGCTCCGGGAAGGCCAGAGCAAGGGGAGCTGTTCATGGTGACTACCAACAAGGCAGGACCTAGGAGGGTCTGGACATAGGCAGGGGCTGTGGTGGCGTCAGTGGAAGCTTGGCCCCAACCATTCTGGGCCTGCTCACCATGCGGACCTCACCTTCAACTCTGACTTCTTCTCCAAGGCCTTGGCGATGACCCTGGCTGCCTCCACGCCCACCGTGTTGCCCTCCAGGCGCAGAGCCTCTAAACCATCAAAGTCTTCAATCTCTTTAATCACGTCTTTGGCTGCGAAGGACCAAAGAACAGAAACTTAGATTTTGGGAGTCACGAACAACTGGGGCAGAACAGAGTCCGGCCACGACCTCTTCACTCACAATTCCAACAGCAGTAATAGGCCTGCCGTGTGCCGGGCCCTGGCTTGCAAAGGAGAATCAGGCAGGCTCGCAGTCTAGCAGGGGACATGACTAAAAAGAAAATTCCTCTGTACTGAGTATTAAAACAGGCTGGGATGGAAGGCTTGGGAGCCAAAGGAAGAAAGAAGCTGGCCGCATGGGGCGAAGAAGGGGCTTGGGGCACCTTATGGTGGCGTGGGTGGAGCCTTCCTGCACAGGGAGTGCACGAGGCCAAGCAGAGAAACGGCATCCAAGTGAGACTCCAGCAGGTACAATAACAGAAAGGCTCTCAGTGTTACATGATTCATGTGTGGGGCGTTCACTACTGTATCGTTTTTGTTACGATGAAAAGGTTAATTCACCAGAGTACATTACACAGTTACACTGACGTCATTATGAATGGTGCCACAGGTGTCTGCCCGACTTGGAAAATACTCATGTCATAGTGTCAAGTGAAAAATGAGGTTTTCCATGGGTGGGTGGTCTGATCACACTTTCAAAATGTTATACCTATTAAAAGACATAAATAAATAAAAATAAAAAAATAAAATGATATATATTCTACCTTACAAATGCACATGCACGCGCACACACACGCACACACACACACATCCCGCAAGCTCTAAAAGGATAGAAACCCAATGTTAAAACAGTTTTATCTCTAGGTGCTGTAATTATGGCTGTGTCTGTGCTTTTTCATTAACTGCTCAATTTATTCCTAACATCAGGTTATAAAGCAGCTTTTAAAGTATCTCTAATTGGGGTGCCTGGGTGGCTCAGTCGTTGGGCATCTGTCTTCGGCTCAGGTCATAATCCCGGAGTCCTGGGATCGAGCCCCGCATCTGGCTCCCTGCTCAGCGGGGAGCCTGCTTCTCCCTCTCCCACCCCCCTGCCTGTGTTCCTTCTCGCGCTATCAAATACAGGAACAAAACCTTAAAAAAAAAAAAAAAGTATCTCTAATTATGATCCAAATTGTGAAAAAAAGAAAGTGAGAGAGAAAGAAAAAAAAAGAAGGAACTCAGCTATGGTTAGAAAAAAGCGAGGAAAAAAACACACCAAAATTAAAAGTAGTTGTATCCTGGGGTGTGAGATAATGAAGATATGGGTTTTTTGCCTTCTTTCTGTATTCTGTTTTTTGCCTCTGTTTCTGTATTCTATAATAAGCACATATTAATTTTATAACCTAAACAAGAACACACAAGATGCATGAGACAAAACCCATCTAGCCTGGCTGGCACAAGACAGAGTGGGGTGAGGTGGTGGGAAAGAGATGGAGATGTGCACAGGAGAGAAAAGTTGGACTTGACCTTTTAGGTGACAAAGGCCACAGAGAGGGTTTCAGAAAGGTGGTGATTGGCAACCTATAAGGAGCTGGCAGACAAGCTGTCCCTGTGGGGCCTGCGCACATGCCTCCCTCCCCAGGCTGAGGCCGCCAGCAGCCAGCAGCACCTCCCCAGGAAGCCCTGCTGAACTCCTGGGGCAGGTCAGATCCTGCTTGGCAGGTTTCACAGCCCTGGTCTCCCCGAAGACGCTGCCTGCTACAATTTTACACTCTCTGGAGTGATGACTTATCATTACATGGAGACTGGGTTCATACACCCCTCCTCACTGGGCCATGAGCTCCAGCTCATGAAAGCAGGCAGGGACTTTGCCTCCACTCACTACCAAGCCCCGCAGAGAGGAATGCTCGGCCTTCTCCCCCACACCGTCTAGTCACTGCTCCATTTATTTCACAACGGAGTACGTTGAGACACAGAGAGCACGTACACGCCTACTGAGGTCACACAGCCAGAAGATGGTGACCAGGACTCATTTTCCTTTTCTCATTTCACAACCAGAAGGCTGGACAGGTATGAGCCTCCCATTTTCTAGAAGGGGAAGCTGAGGTTTAAAGGAATGAAGCAACTCTGCCCAAAAATTCAGGAAAAGGGCAGAGCTAGGTTTCAGACTGGTCTTCTGAAACTCTACCCATGTGCTCCTCTCCAAATCCTTGCTTCGGCGCACAACCATGGACTTTATGCAGCGCTCCCCCCACCCCCACAATCCCTCCCTAGATGCTGGGTCCCAGGTGCCGAGGTGTCCTCTGTAGCTGACACGAGGGCTGAAATAATCTCTCAGCCCCTTGGACCACCTGCTCTCAAACGGAGCCCCCCAACAGCCAGAGACCGGCCAGCTGAACAAGGAGGGAGGACAGCTGCTCATGGGGACGTCTGGGCCGTCCTGAAGAGCCAGGCAACAGAGACGCCAGGGCCCCGAGGGAAGACTTCTGCCGTACGAGTGAGGCAAGCACAGAGAGTTCAGCCCTGGGGAGAGTGACAGGCACAACTCAGAGCTGGAAGAAAAAGCATCAACATGGGATGAGAAGGGACAGGAAGGCGGGGATCACCACTGGGTGGCCTCTCTCACTTGTTTTCGATCCAGATGGAGTTCTTTTTTTTTTTTTCTTTCTTATTTATTTGACAGAAAGAGAGAGACAGCGAGAGAGGGAACACAAACAGGGGGAGTGCGAGAGAGAGAAGCAGGCTCCCCGCCAAGCAGGAAGCCTGATGTGGGGCTCGATCCCAGGACCCCAGGATCATGAACTGAGCCGAAGGCAGACGCTTCATGATGAGCCCCCCAGGTGCCCAGGGGTGGGACTCAAACACCGGCCAGGGCTGCGCTGTCCAGACCAGCCGCCAGGAGGCCGGGCGGCAGAGCCTGCTCTCAGCCTCCACAGCCTCACACAGTGACAGGTTCCAGGTGTTCAGCACGCAGCCAAGGAGAAGCAGAAAGACCTTTCTTTGGTCCTTAAATCACTTACTGGGGAGAGAAAAGAGCCTTGTTCTCATCATCACTTTCACGGCATCCTCACACAGGCCCGTGCCCTCTCCTGACTGGGCCGGCTCACTCGCCCCCAAGATGGAGGCCCTTTCTGGAACCAGGACTCAGCCGCCGGGCTCCCGCACACAGCATCCAAGGGCCTCTGCACTGGGCTCCCTCTGGCATCCTGATTCTTCTCTCCCAAGCCCCCCCTATGTGTCTCAGCTCCCGTGCCTAACTCACGTGGTTCTCCCTGCCTCTACTGCCCTTTCCCCTCCAAGGACAGTCCACACCTGACCTCATCCACGGAGATTTCCGGGGCCCTTTGAAACCAGACATGAACCCTTTCCCTCGCCGAGCTTCCCACAGCTTTCTGTTCACGTCACTCAGAATAGCCTTCACCTTCAGCCCCATGCCGGTAGCTCTCCGAGCACCTCCCTTCCTACTCCTGGGCAGAAGCTCCTCAGAGGCTCGGACTGTAGCTGGGCCTCCCTGGTGACCTACAAAATGGGAGGCAGCAGGTCCAGCCTGCGCCGGTGAAGTGGCGATCTGCCCAGATTTTAAGGCTAGACAAGCTTGAGCTCTAATCCCAGCTCCACCGCTTCTACCTGAGCCCTTAGGCAAATCCTATGTCTCACTTCCCTGGGCTTTCATTTTCCAACCTACAAATTGGGGATGAAACTCACCTCAAGGACTTTTAGGAAAATAAAAGATTCTATTTGCATGGCACTTAAGACTGCCGACTCGGCATTCAGCGAATGGCATTTCGTAACAAATTCGTGTGTCCTGAACTGAGCTGAATGTCTACTGAGAAACACCGCAACAGAAATTCAGCTGGACCTCTGTTAAAATCCTGGATCTGCTATGTACCAGCTGTATGACCTTGGGCAAGTTAGATCTTCCTAATTGTTTTTCCTTCTTTATAAAATTGTAACATTTCCACCTCCCTCCCCCCAGGATGGTGCATGATCGAAAGTGACAATAGCACGGGGGAGCTCTATAAATTTTAAGGCCCTCTAGAGATATTAGGAATGTGCATGGCCACGCTCCCACCAACCTAAGGACTCAAGTGGCTTCTGAGCCAGTGCAGGGGAACAAGCCTGCCTACACTCCCTGACAACCAGGCAAGCCCGGACCAGTTTCCCTGGTTGAACCCGAACCTCAAGAGACCTCGCAGGTATGGACATTGGTGCCTTCGCTTCCAAACGCCAGGGGATTCTGGGTTGATGAGAGTTAGCCAGGCTCTGGCTAGGGATGAAAAGGCAGGGCCTATGTTCTTGTTCCTAATTCCCTCCAGTCCTCGTTCCTCTACACAGACAAGAACATCCATCCCTCTCCCAGGGGCATTCAGGTACATGGACCAGACCTCCAAGAGGGTCCTACCTCTGGGGAGGGCAACCAGTACTCCCAGCCCAGTCTGGGATCATGGTGGTAAAGGTCTGAAGACGTCAGGGGCTATATCCTGAGACTGCTGTCGTGGTCCCTCATTGTTTACTATCCCTTCCCACTTGCCAACCCAAGCTGTCACCAGCGAGGACAGCCTCCAAAAACACGACGACCAGCAAGGAAGCCTGTACGTGCCTGCGGACACATCATCTCTGAGCCTCACTGCTAGATGGGCCCCATGATATCTCAAAGAGCTACTAGGACAAACAATGTGATAATGTAGCTAAACAAGCCTGAGCACGAGTAGAGTAAGCGGTCGTTCGCACACTCCCTTTCCTCCCCTAGGCCAGCCCACGCGAGGACTCACCATCTTCTGCAGTGTTGAGTTTGAGGCTCTTGCCCTTGAAGCTCAGCTGTCCCCCGGCCACCTGGGTTTTGGCAAGCGTCTCTGCTAGCTTGGCAATGTCTTCAGAGGCCATGCTGGTCACGTTGCTGGGCTCCCCTGGAAATCTGCAAACTGAGCAGGACAAAGTTTCATTAAAAGAGAGGAGTCAGGGCGCCCAGGTGGCTCCGTCAAGTGTCTGCCTTCAGCTCTGGTCATGATCCCAGGATCCTGGGATCGAGCCCCACATCGGGTTCCCTGCTTGGCGGGAAGCCCGCTTCTCTCTCTCCCACTCCCCCTGCTTGTGTTCCCTCTCTTACTGTGTATGTGTGTGTCTCTCTCTCTAATAAATAAATAAGTAAAATATTAAAAAAAAAAAAAGAGAGAGAGAGAGAGGGAGAGATTGTGTGTGTGTGTCTCCTGGGGCCCCCCCAGCTGGGGAGGAGAGGGCAGAACATCAGCTATTTCAGGGTTTTGACCCCCCTTCCCCCACTATGAAGACTCCCAACAGCTAAACTATTGGGAGAAATAAAAATAGCATTAGGGAAGGAACAATTCTAGAAAGGTGGAGAAAGTGGCAAGAATGTAGTAAAATCACATTTTAGCCTCTGGAAAGTCACTATCTTACTTTAACTCCTCCCCTGCCCAAATGCTCCAGCTGGGACACCAAGCATAGCCATGTGAGTTGCCCGTTTTCTGGGTCCCTAGTGAATGGCAGTTGAGTCCCTGAGCAACAGCAGCAAAGAGCCCCAAGCACACACCTGCCTGATCATCTTGGCTGTTCTCTGTTTGAGGGTCCCATTCCTCAAACAGAACTAAGATGGCTATGGGATCCAGGTCATCCATCCCAGGAAATGCCCCACCACCCACGCTGGCATGTCTCTGGGCGTGGGGCACAGGGGTCAGCCCACTGCACAGCCAGTTTCAACCTTGGCCAGGAGACTGGGCAACCCATGGCGGCCAGACCTCAGGGGTTCCTAGGAGACCAGAGGTTTCTACATCACAACAGCCACCATCACAATAGATCAAGGGCAGAGTTCCTAAAGAAAGGAGCTTCCAGCCTGGCAGAACTCAGCAGACTGGCAGAAAGGACCACTCTATTTTCCTAAAGAGGGAAAAGGCAGGTAATCAGGGTACACCAAGGAAGACTGATATGGGGGACAGAACTTAACCCATAGAGACTTCTTCTTATCCAGAACATGTTCTTTCCCAATCTATCCATCCTTAAGATACAATTGTGATGGCCCCCAATCCTCTTACTCCCCCCCTCCCCGCCGGCGTCCTCTGGGCTTCCGACAGCCGGCTTCCCACCTCCTTCCCTTTAACTTAGCCTGGATCACCCTGGTTTGTCTATCTTTACCAGGAAGCATGAATTATTCTTCTGGGTAAGGAGGCGTCTTTTCATACATTCAACAAACATTTATTGTGTACTACTATGTTCTACACTTGTTTCAGATACCGGAAGCACAGCAGTGAATGAAAAAAACCGTGCCTTCTTAAAATAATGTTCTTTCTCTCTTTTTAAGTTTTATTTATTTACTTATTTTAAAGATTTTATTTGTTTATTTGACAGACACAGCGAGAAGGAACACAAGCGGGGGTAGTGAGAGAGGGAGAAGCAGGCTTTCCACTGAGCAGACCCATCCCAGGACTCTGGGATCATGACCTGAGCAGAAGGCAGACACCCAATGACTGAGCCATGCAGGCACCTCTTAAAATTTTATTAAGTAATCGCTATGCCCAATGTAAGGTATAAACCCACAACACCAAGATCAAGAGTCCCAAGCTCTAACAACTGAGCCAGCCACGCACCCCTTAGAACATGTGTTCTCCACAAGATACGTAGTATCTTAAAACAATGATAAAAAGAAAAACAAATAGAGAAGATGGTAAGGAGTTTTCTGGGGGTTGCAATTTAAAACAGATTGGTTAGAGGAGTGCCTGGTGGCTCAGTTGGTTAAACGACCGACTACTGACCTCAGCTCAGGTCTTGATCTCAGGGTCATGAGTTCAAGCCCCATGTTGGGCTCCACACTGGGCATAGAGCCTACTTAAAAAACAAATCAGAATGGTTAAAAAATATATTATTAGGAAAGAAACAAAGACTCGAAGGATATCAAGGTCTGGGCCAGGCAGGTATCTGAAGGAAGAGCATTCCTGCAAACCAAATAGCAAAACCAAAGGCTCTTGGGGAGGGGGGGGGTAAGAGAGGAGATTAGAGGAACTGCAAGGAGGCCAGTGGTGTTGGAAGGCAGAGAGGGAAGGAGAAACAAAGCAAGAAATGAGAAAAGAGAATTAGCAAGAGGCCAGAGTCACAAAGGCCATTTAAAAATTGTGGCTTTTACTCTGAGTGAAAAGGAGAGCCACTGGTGGGTTTTTAACAGAGAAAAGCAGGCTCTGACAGACGTTTTGACAGGATCACTTAAATGCAACCTAAGGCCTGGCATCTGGAAGGTGATCCAAAAACGAAGAGATGACACTAAATAAACAAGAGCCGGAAACCCCGCCATCACTTGCAGTTCTGGATAGGCCAATTTGAGGCAAGAGAAATGGTGGTGGGGCTCCCAGGTATGCTCCTACTGGAACACAGAACTTCTCAGCTAGAAAAGGGCCTGTTCTTCAGTCCAATACACATACACAACATCCACTTTGAAGACTGCCAAAACGAAGCACAGAGAGGTGCTTGATTCGCCCTAGGTCTGCAAAGGGTCAGTAAATACACAAACGGTCCTCTCCTTTTCGGGCACGAAAGTCGCAGATTTTCTCGGGTGCACATCTACCGTTCCGGCCAAGCGTCAGCAGTGACTCATGGAGATCTCAGGGGCTACGGAGCCAGCCCAGTCCCTCCGCGGGCGTGGGGCTATGGGGAGGTGGCGACAAGGGAGCGACGCGCGTGTGCGGGCCTCAAATGACAGGCGGGAGGCGCGGGAGCCCCATCCGGGATCCCCGGAGGACGCGCACCACCCCCAGTTGTCACCGACGCCAACAAGAGACGCCACTGCTGGCAACTGCGCCAGACGCCCTCTCCAAGCCTCAGTTTCCCCATCTGGGAAAGGGGCCTGTGGCCCCCCAGCACCCCCTCTCTCAGCCCCTCCGCGCTTGGCCGTGGAAGCGCAGGGGATAAGGCCGCGAAGAAACCCAGAAGGCGCACAGGAGCGCCACACCTTCCTCGCCCAGATGCAAGGACGCGCCGCCCCCCCGCCCCCATCCCAGGCAGGTGACGGGGAAAGGAAAGGGACCCCGACCCTTACCGTAAACAGGCGGCGTCGCCGCGTGGGACGACCTGAGCGCGCGCGTCCGCCCGGCGGGGGCGGGAAATGATTTAGGGTCCGGGTCAGGTCAGGTCGGGGTCGCCGCCACCGAGCCCACGGGTCCCGATACCCGCCCGCTCTTCCGTCAGCTCTCTCGGCAGTTCTCGCCACTCCCGTCTCCGACACCACCTGCTCCCCGCACCGCGGCGGATGATGGCGGAGGAGGAGGATTTTGAAAGCCGGCAGTTTCTTTCCTTCGATTTGATTTGTTCGAGGCCCAGGCCGGGTTTCCCTCCCCCCGCGCGCGTGGCCTATCGGGTATGGTAGTCGAGTTCTCCTGCGCGGGGGGCGGTGGCCGCGGCAGGAGTGCGCCCACGAACTACCAGTCCCGTGAAGCACCGCGTCCCAGCGCGCCACCGCCCTCTCCCTCTGCGCCCTCCCTTTTCGGCTTCTGGCTCTTTCTCCAGGAGGCCACAGGGCGGCGTGTAACCCCGGGCTCCCAGAGAGACTACAATTCCCGTCAAGTCTTGCGGCCCAGCCGATTCAGCCTTTCCGGAAAGGTTCACGCTCACCTATCTTTATAGACAAAGGCTAGTACTCCCGAAGTCGTGCTGTTGGATCTGTTCAGCGAGGAATACGTATCCGTTTCCTCAAAGGAAAGCCTCGCCTTTTTAATCCCATAAAATTGAAAGGCCATTCGAAGGCTTTCACATAAATAGCTGCAAGTTGTTTGATAATTAAAAAGGGGAAATGGCTATCCTATGTTAGAGAAGCTGGGAAACCATCTTAACTAAATGGTGCACGTTAACATTAGTAACACGACAAACTGACGTCCGTTGCACACCTGCTGAAGGGATGCATTGAGACGCATGGGACCGTGCAGTCAGCAATGCGTAAGATTAACCTAATCCTGAGGAAACATCTGCCAAACCCAACTGAGTTACAGTTTCTTCCGCTACAGTTAGAATAACCGCTCTGTACTCTTGCAGGAATGTCTGTGTCATGAAAGACTAAGAAAATCTGAGGAACTGTTGCAGATTTAAGGAGACTAAAAAAGACATGACAACTAAACGCAAACAGGGGTCTGGACTCGATCCTGGACTGGGGAGGAAATTACTTTAAAGGCCAATATGGAGACAGTTCAGCGAAACCTGACTGCATATTAGATAATAGCATTGTATCAGTGTTAAAGTTATTGATTGTTAGGCGCCCGGGTGGCGCAATTGGTTGCGCCACTGCCTTCGGCTCAGGTCGTGATCCCAGAGTCCTGGGATTGAGACCCGCACTGGGCTCCCAGTTCTGCGGGGAGTCTGCTTCTCCCTCTGACCTTCTCCCCTCTCATCTCTCTCTCACTCTCTCAAGTAAATAAATGAAATCTTTTTAAAAAATTTATTGATTGTTATTATTGTGCTGGGTTATGTAAGAGACTGCCCCCTGTTCTTGGGAATGTATGCTTAAATAATTAGGGGTGTGATATCAGTAACCGACTTGCCAATAGTTAAAAAAAATGTATATATATACGTAGAGAGAGAGAGAGAGCACGCATGTGGCCTGATGTTCAAAATAAGTGAATGGGGGGGGTATGGGGGGGTTCTTTGAACAGTTCTGCTACTTTCCCCTAGGTTTTAATTTTTAGGTATCAGAACACAAATAGCTTTTCTTTTTTTCTGTTCGCAAAGAACATTTTATCCATTATATAAATAACATGTGTTTGCTATAAATACTTCAACCAACATAGAACAGGATAAAGAGAAAAGTAAACATTACCCGAGAAACTCTAGCACCCAGAGATAATCACCATCAACATATGCAGCCTTCTCCAAAGTCACCTCTCACAACTTGGCCCACGCACATGATTTTTGCTTTACCTGCAATTGAAAGTTAGATATATTATGTGCCAGATCTTTTCACACACAGTTAATTTAATCTTTACAACCACAAAGGAAGCGGGCATCATCGCCACCCCTTCCAGCAGAGAGATGAGAAAACAAGCTCTATACCCTGGTTCACACCACTCCTGAGAGGTGGGTCCTCTTTCCACCCACCCTCTCCTCCTCTGCCTATAAGGCCCATGGCAAATGCCATCTCCTCCGGGAGGCTTTTCTACACCACTCTGTCCAGAATGAGTCACCTACCTCTAGGCCCTACAGCAAGCTTCAAGTCCCCACAGTGGCTGATTTGCAGCTCTGAGGGCTTTTCCACAACATTAATAATATTATTGGCAGCATCCCTGTCAACCTGGGAGAGCTTTGGGGCAGGTACTGTACCCAACCTGGCAGCGTCTTTTCCAGGATTCACTTGTCGTAAGTGCTTCCTGTTTCCTCATTTGAACTGGATTCCAGTCAGGGTCACTGGATGTTTGCTTAAAATGAGTCATCATCTGAGAAGGCTGAGATGCTCCCAATTAGGCCTGATGCTATTCCTGTGCTGATTACAGCTAGCACTGATCAAATCAGTCTGGATTTTCCTTGGGGTGATCCCCAGCCTCCCTTTTCCAGTTTTTCTTTCTGAGGCCTTCCTTGACCTTCTGACAGAGACCTCCCAGAGAGAAGAGGAGGGCAGATGGTAGAACATCTTAGGTGATCTTCCCTGTCCTCGCCTAACTGATGGGTCATAAGATTTTCAGGTTTGGAAGGGAATTCTTAGCAGAAACAATGGCCTTCGGGGGGCCTGGCTGGCTCGGTCCGGTCCATAGAGCATGCGACTCTTGATCTTAGGGTAGTGAATCCAAGGCCCACGCGAGGTGTGCATTCTACTTAATTGAAAAGGAGAGAAAAGGAAACAACAGCCTTCAAGGGCTAAAGAGGTATTAGGAGGTAATGAGAGCCTGGGGGAGAGTAAATGTTCTGTCCAAACATGTTCACGTTCTACACTCAAAATCACCAAAACAGCCCAACATCACCCCTTAGCAATCCAGATTCTGTTTGTTACACCTGAATCTAGATTCTGTCTTAAACCACTTTAAAATGAGAAGACTGGGAGAAGGAGGTTACACAATGGTACACCGTGTCAGAGGAGTCCAGAGCCATCAGTGTTTCCAAGCAACGCATTTGTCATCTCTCCTCTTTCTGCAACTCACTCACTCTCCCTTTCAAGGTATCACCTGAGAGCTAGTTTGCCGTGCCTAGTAAATGGAATCATAGCCTTTGACAGATGGATAGAGCCATCTCAGGCCACGCCTATCTTCAACACTTCAAAGAATTGAGGACCAGAGAGGTTAAGTGACCTGCCCAAATACACAGTAATTTAGACAAGAGACAGTAGGTTTGTTTGTTTGTTTTAAGTAAGCTCTATGCCCAGCGTGGGGCTTGAACTCATGATCCCAGTAATCAAGAGTAACTTGCTCTACCAAATGAGTCAGCCAGGCACCCCAAGATAAAAAAGAGCAGAAGCCAGATCTCTGGGGTCCTTTTCAATACACATGCAAAACAATTCATTCTGGGAGTATGAGGTGGGTATAAGGGGAAAAGAGAATGTTTTAGACCTTTCTGTCTCTCTGCAGCTTCTTTTTCTTTTGTTTTTAAAGGATGTTTTGAAGAGAAAAGCAGGCTGCCTCTGATTAGTTTGGTTCACTTTTTAAATTCCATTGTGTTTTAAATTCCATTGTGGTGCCTGAAAACAAACTTAATTACTAATTGTAAATGGAATAAATAACAATATTTATACTGGTACTAAGAGCTACTAAGGCTGCAGACTTGCCATTTAGTGAGATCAAAGACAAATGCCGGAATTATGCCAGACATGTGAGGAATGTGGAGAGAAATTCCCAAGATCCATCAGGGTGCTGGTGCTTGCTTAGGGCTCCTAGAGAAAGGTGGTAGGCTTGGCCTCCCAGCATTGCAGAGGAGTCTGCCCCCTCACCCCAAGGGTCGCCTCCCCTGGTGGGAAGGTGCTGCTAACAGATGATTCTGTTAAAGACCACTCAAACCACATTCTCCTCTGGGTCAAGCCCAGGGCTCCCCATCAGAATACATGACCTTTTTATTTTTTTAAATTTTTTTTTAAGATTTTATTTTTATTTATTTGACAGACAGAGAGAGATCACAAGTAGGCAGAGAGGCAGGCGGCGGGGGCCGGGGGGGGAACAGGCTCCCGGCTGAGCAGAGAGCCTGATGTGGGGCTCAGTCCCAGGACCCTGGGATTATGATGACCTGAGCTGAAGGCAGAGGCTTCAACCCACTGAGCCACCCAGGTGCCCCTACATGACCTTTTTAAACTTTGATAATTAACCATAATTAAAATAATTCATTCCCCCCACAAATAGTAATTGAGTATTTACTATGTACCAGGCACTGTTCTGGCTCCTGGAATCCAAAGGTGAGTGAGACATAAAAGAATATTGTCTGTGGAGGAGCTTAAATTGTGGCCTCATGTTTCTGGAGAGTTTCCTGATACCAAATGCTTTTGGTAAATTATTTTCTCCTTTAAGTATTCTTTTGTTGGGGTGCCTGGGTGGCTCAGTGGGTTAAAGCCTCTGCCTTCGGCTCAGGTCATGATCCCAGAGTCCTGGGATCCAGCCCCACATCGGGCTCTCTGTTCAGCTGTTCAGCGGGGAGCCCGCTTCCTCCTCTCTCTCTGCCTGCCTCTCTGCCTACTTGTGATCTCTGTCTGTCGAATAAATAAATAAAATCTTTTAAAAAAAAAAGAATTCTTTTGTTCCAGGGCGCCTGGAACAAAAGAATTTATTTATTTATTTATTTAAGATTTTATTTATTTATTTGAGAGAGAGTGAGAGAGAGTGAGAGAGAGCATGAGAGGGAAGGTCAGAGGGAGAAGCAGACTTCCCACTGACCTGGGAGCCCGATGTGGGGCCCAATCCTGGGACTCCAGGACCGTGACCTGAGCCGAAGGCAGTCGCTTAACCCGTTGAGCCACCCAGGCACCTGGAAATAATTTTTTAATAAATACTTACAGGATTTTTGAAAAAAATGCATAAATGCAAAAGAGCATTAAGAACTGGGGCGCCTGGGTGGCTCAGTGGGTTAAGCCTCTGCCTTCAGCTCAGGTCATGATCTCAGGGTCATGGGATCGAGTCCCGCATCGGGCTCTCTGCTCATCGGGGAGCCTGCTTCCTCCTCTCTCTCTGCCTGCCTCTCTGCCTACTTGTGATTTCTGCCTGTCAAATAAATAAATAATCTTTAAAAAAATAAATAAATAAAAGCTCTTAAAAAAAAAAAAGAATAAAGTTAAGGGGATACCTGGGTGGCTCAGTTGGTTAAGCAACTGCCTTCGGCTCAGGTCATGATCCCAGGGTCCTGGGATCAAGAACCCCCCCCACGCCCCTCCCATTGGGCTCTCTGCTCAGCAGGGAGCCTGCCCCACCCACACCCCGCTGTTCTGCCAACTTGTGATCTCTGTCTGTCAAATAAATAAATACAATCTTTTTTTTTTTTAAGATTTTATTTATTTATTTGACAGAGACAGAGATCACAAGTAGTCAGAGAAGCAGGCAGAGAGAGAGAGGGAAGCAGGCTCCCTGCTGAGCAGAGAGCCCGATGCGGGGCTTGATCTCAGGACCCTGAGATCATGACCTAAGCCGAAGGCAGAGGCTTTAACCCACTGAGCCACCCAGGCGCCCCTATTTATCAGATATTCTTATCTTTATTTACAAATGAGGAAGTTGATGATGTGAGATTGCCCACAGTCACCCAGCTAGCAAGAGGTGGGAGCTGGGACTCCCACCCACCTTGGTCTTCCAAATACTGTCACCCAGCTTCCCCAAATCTCCAGGGAAGCTGCCTTTAACCCACAATCTTGGGTCTATCCCAGGTGACCCAGGGGTTGATTTCCCACAAAATATCAGAATCCCCAAGGGGGTGCTTGTTAGAAATGCTGAATCAGAATTTTTTTAAAGTATTTTATTCATTTATTTGACAGAGAGAGGTACAGCGAAAGAGGGCACACAAGCCCCGATGTGGGGCTCGATCCCAGGACCCTGGGATAATAACCTGAGCTGAAAGCAGACGCCCAGTGACTGAGACACCCAGGCACCCCTGAATTAGAATCTTTTGAGAGCCGGGGATTAGATATTTTCATTTTAAGCAAATCCTGCTCTGCAGTAAGTCCCAAGGACCTCTGGACTCTGCTCTTCATTTAAAAAAAAAAAAAAAAAAAGATTTATTTATTTATTTAGCAGACAGAGATCACAAGTAGGCAGGGAGATAGGCAGAGACAGAGGGAGGGGGAAGCAGGCTCCCCACTGAGCAGAGAGCCAGATGTGGGACTTGGTCCCAGGACCCCGGATCATGACCCGAGCTGAAGGCAGAGGCTTTAACCCAAGAGCCACCCAGGCGCCCCAGCATCTGACTCTTGATTTCCGCTCAGGTCATGATCTCAGGGTCCTAAGAACAAGCCCCGCCTAGGGTTCCTTGCTCAGCAGAGTCTTTTCTCTCCCTCTCCCTCTGCCCCAACCCCCACTCATTCTCTCTCAAATAAATAAATATATACACCCCCAAATAAATAAAACCAAGGTTTCAGGATCATTGTGAGAATTAAATAAGTAGACACCTCTCCAGGTTCTTGCGCTCCTTGCACTTAAGACAGTATGTTTAAATGTTAAAAATCTGTCCTACAGGGGCGCCTGTGTGGCTCCGTCAGTTAAATGTCTGCCTTTCGCCAGGTCATGATCCCAGGGTCCTTGAATCGAGCCCCACATCAGGCTCTCTGCTCAGTGGACCACCTGCTTCGCCCTCCCTCTCTGCCTGCTGCTCCCCCTGCATGTGCCCCAATTAGACAATTGACTGTGTCAAATAAATTTTGACTGTGTCAAATTTGACTGTGTCAATTAGACAATTGACTGTGTCAAATAAATAATTAAAACCTTAAAAATTTTTTGTCTCACCAATGTATCCCCAGCTTCTAAGACGTGTCTGGTGCAAAGGTTTGGGGAAGAGATAACATTTATACAGTCTGCTGGGGTCACAGCCGATCCTCAATAATTAAAATGCACACGTGTACGCATATGTACATACATATACACATGTAAGTATGTGTGTGTGCGTGCATATGTAAGTGCATGTGTGTGTGTCTGAAATTAAAAGGAGGAAAGAAGGACATTTGAGAGAACTCTCACGGGGTGTGGGAGTCTTCTGGAATCAAGGGCGCAGGTAGTGGCAGCGAGCATGACACGGTATTTGGAATCAGAAGCTCGGGATTCATATCCAGCCTGGGCCTGCCTGGCTCTCGGAGGCGGCTGCGGGGAAGGCCAGACAGCCCGCCTCTCTGGGTCATCTCCCTTTACCTACTGGGTCTTCTAAGTACCCTCAAACCCTTTCCGGAAAGGCCTCAAACATAAAACACCAGCCGACTGAGGGTCTGATGCTTCTCTGAGCCTCCGGTCCTCATCCGTGGGTTGGGGTCGGGGGCTTTAGTGAAAGCACCTGGCAACGCGGGAGCCCCTCCACCTACCGGGAAGGGCCGAGGCGCTGAGTTGGACCAGCAACGACTCGCCCAAGGAAAAAGCCCTAAAAGGGAAGGCCACGTTGAAAGAAAATAAAGGTGGCTTCCAGGCAGGAGCTCTGCACGGGGCAGGGGGACTTCCCCGCCCCCAGGTGCGCAGCCCGCGCCGCCCACCCCGGGCGCGAGGCGAGGGCAGCCGCGCTCTAGGACCCGAGGAGGAAGAGCTGCAGGAGACGGTGCCTCCAGCGGGTGCTGCCGCGAGCGGCCGGCCGAGGGGCTGGAAATGAAAGTAAAGCGCTCCGGAGCCACATGGACCGAGCTGCCGGGGCGGCGGCGCCGGGAGCACGATGCGGCCGCCCGTAATTAAATAGCATTTACTCTTATTATTACTAATAATAATAACGTAATCATACCTCTAGTCATAGCATACCATTTATCGGGCTCGGCGCAGGCCCGCGGGGAGCGCAGCCCGGCGGAGGTGAGTGCTGCGCGCGGCCCGAGCCCGGCGGGGCAGAGGCCGGGGCCCGACCGCGTCCCGTCGGCGGGCGCGGGAGGGCTCGGGGGCGCCCGGGGGCCGCGCCGGGCCGGGAGGAGGCGCGGGGGAAGCCCGGGCCAGGCCGGAGCTGCGCGGGGCCACCCGCAAAGTGCATTTTGCAGAAATAAAGAAAGAGCCGCCAAATCCTCATTTCCTCCTTTTTGGGGCTCCCCCTCCCTGTCCCCGTGCCCTGTCCCAAAGTTTCAAAGTTGTGCGGCCGGGGGCACCTGCCGCTGGGTGATTTGGCCGCCCCTGCAGCTCCCGGTGGGGTGGGGGGAGTGCCTTGGAATTTTCTTGCGTGGGGGGCTCCCGCCTCGGCGTCCGGAGCTTTGGGGTGCGCGGATGCTTTGTCGGCCCCCGCGAAGGGGGTCGAGGGGGCTGGCAGGGGCGTTTCTGGCAGCGCGCCCCTTCCTTTTGTGTGCGCCTTGGTCCCGCAGCGCCGAGAGTTGAGGGGACCGCAGCAAGGGCCGAGGACCGCGGCCGCCGACGGGTCGCTTCTGTCGGCTGCGGCGGCCACGCGAGCCCGGGGATCCGGGGCCTGCGGCCCGGCCGGGGTTGGGGGGGAGGGGGCGGCAGGAAAGGGGGCGCGGTCTGGGCAGCGGGGCATTTCCGGTCGCGAGATCCATCCCTGGGCTGGGAGGCCTGAGCGGTGGGTCGCTGTGCCAGGAGCGCGCGGACACTGGGGGGGTGGGGGTGCAGCTCCAGCGCTTGGGGGGCGCCCCCCGGAGATGAGCGCCCCAGAGTCACTGACCCAGGCCTCCGACCCCCTGCCGCCCTTAGAGGGCCTCCGGTACCCCCCCCCTTCCCCGTCCCGGCCCCGGGCCTGCTCCCTCCTCTCCCCCCTTTCCTTTTTAAAATCTCTCTGGCTCGGATATTTATAAGGTGCCTGGTTTAAGGGTCTTGCACAGAGACAAAGCAGTTTTCCCAGGAGGAAAACAAAACAAAACGAGAACGTAGAAACGTTGCCCCTGCCCCGATGGCTCTGGTGCCAACATGGCATCAATGGGGAAGAGTAGGGGCTGGGGCCAGGAAAGGAGGGCTGGGGAGCCTGTGGCTGGTCCTAGACTGGGGGACTGGGGGCCAACAGCAGCTTTGTCGGTTCTCTGGGGTTGTTCACAGATACTTTGGTGTCTAGGCACCAGACTTTGAACCCCAACTTCTTACCATTTTCCTCAGCATCTGCAATTCATCCAGTCCCATGAAAATAGCAGAATGCAGATCCTTGAATTTTCACACAAATGGGATAATTATAGAACATTTAGCAACTGTTGGACACAAAATTCCAGCGGAATCTTTACTTCTACTACTGAGACTACTACTGCCCCTCTCCCCACATACAACCACACCCACCAGAGTCTTCCTTCCCCATTTTGACTTGCTACAGAAATTGGACTGTCAGGTAGAAATGATGCCTGTCCAAAATGTTGTTGGGGCAGATCAGAGGCCCGGGGTACCCAAAGCTGGGAAGGTGAAACCTGTTTTGAGGAGGGATGAGATCTGAGGATGGGAGAGAGATTTTGTGGTCCCTGAGCTGGAACCAGGTTTGTGTTCAACAGAGGCCGTGAATTGTAAGCTGTTGGCTTTTTGTTTGGGACGGACAACGAAGAATGCGGGGTGGGTGGATTATTGGGGGCTAAGAAGCTCTGTGGGATGAGCTAGTGTCTAGGTATAAGAAAGTTAAGGAGTCAGTAGGTTTGGATTTGCGACTCTGAAAATAATAATCCCTTAAATAGAACTTTTTCGTTTATAACAAAAGGGCTTTCACATATGCTCATCTGTGCTCCATAGCAACCATGTCAGGTAGACATTATTCAGTCCTCATTTTCCAGATAAGAAACCTGAGGCTTCTAGAATCGAATGTCCCCCTGGAAAGTCACATAGCAGAGCTAGGATTCCTACTTAAGTGTCCAGACTCCGAATCTTCAGCCTTTCGCAGGGGCCCGGGGCCACCTTCGCAAATTAGTTTTCGAATCCCTTCTGTGAACATGGTGAGATGCTGTGGGGCAGGTTTGGGGTTGAGTTTGTCGCTTAGATACTGGCTGGAAGGAGAAAGTCAACTCTAGCAGAACCCACGAGAGGACCAGGACCGAGCCCTGCTCAGGACTGGAGTCAATGCAGTGGGAGGGAGCAGAAGAGAGAGCTCTCAGGGTGACCTGGCAAAGTTAGGGAGGGCCTCTGGAAAGTGGATCTTGAGCTTGACAGAATGTGGAGGTCTGGCTAGGGAGAGAGAAGAGGAAGGGAATTCCTGGGATGGCCACAGTTGCTTCTGTGCTGGGAGGTTGACGGGTAGTCTGACTCTTACAGTGGTTCTATGAGGGGGGTGGGCATTTATATCTCCATTTCACAGATGGAAAAACTGAGGAACACGGGATTCATGTGGCTGGCAGGATGTCAGCCAGCTGGATCGGAACCCAGGCTTCTGTGACTGTTGAGTATGTACGACGGGATTGGTATCAAAATTGGCTCACCTCCATTTCAAATGTGTAGACAAAGAACAGAGACCAGGACAGTCTGATTCGGCAAACACAATGGCGGTGGGGGCTTAAGCCCAAAGACCAGCAAGCTCCCCTAGGCGGGGGAGTCTTACTGAACTCCCTTCTATCCTGGGGCCTCATGGGGCTGGCCCAGTGAAAGTACTTAGAAGATTTCCGGAAGCATGCCTGGAGAAGGCAGAATGGTGGAGAAGGAGGACTGGGCTCTGAGTGCGGAGTCTGAGTTCACTTCCTCAGTGCCTGCGGGTGCCGAGCTTGTTGTTTGGAAAGGAGAAAGATATGGGTGATTAACCTGAGCTTCCCAAGGGCAGACACTGGGTCTGATTCACCCCCTGTGCCCCCAGGCCCCAGTGAAGGTGGGAGGAGGACACATTCAGCCAACGTGCTGTCATACTGAGTTATACCCCAGTGTAGAGGAGGAAGGTTTGGTTTTTTTTTTGCCCTAGATGGAAGGGCTTTCTAGAAGAACTGCCATTTCGACACTTGGGAGGTGGTTCAGAAAGGCCAGAGAAGGCATCCTGAGGAAGGCCCTTGGGCTCTCTGGGCCTCAATTTCCCTTTCTGAAAACGAGCCCTGAGGTTGGATGGTGTGTGATGGTCACCTGTGGGGAGAAACCCAGTGCCCAGGGATCGGGGTGGGAGAGTCAGATGAGAGGAACTACACATGGAGGGGTTTTACATTTTTTAATCATGTAGCTGTTGCCCAAGCCAGCATTTCCTCTAGTCTGGCCCTGTTGTGTGTGAGTGCTTTTTCCTAGATGAGCTTCCTTAATCTTTACAGCAGCCCTACAGGGAAGCACTGTGATTGTCCCCATTTTACAGATGAAGAAACTGGCCAGAGTGGTTGAGTGGCAGAGCTGGAGAGCAGACCCAGGCAGCCTGGCGCTTGAGTTGCTCTGCGTGGGCCCAGGGACTGGGAGGGACGGGGCAGGCGGTGGTAACCTCAGATGGCAGAGGTGGAGGTGTCCCCTGAGGAAGTCTGGCTGCTAGCTGAAGCCGGAGCCTCAGCCTAGGCTGATGGAGTGACGGCTACGTGTCAGTTCCCAGGAGCCTCCACAGGAGCCAGCTCCTTTCATCACATTTAATGGCCCGTAGAAAACGAGCTGGCTTTCCTTTCTCTGTCATCACCCGCTCCGGGGCTCCTTCCTGCCTTATTTATTTCCCCAGGAAGTCTGTTTCTCAGCTAGCGCTCTGATGTCTTCTGTGGGTCCTCCCGTCAGGCCGCGGGGGCCACTGCTGCCTTCAGAACCCAGCTGGGGCCGACTTCAGTTCAACTGCAGGGCCCTGGCCCCCACTCAGCGCTTGAGGGCAGCAGTGGCACTTAGGGACACCGGCCACAACACGCTTAAGGCTGCCGTGTGCCAGCCCTGTGCTTGGCGCTTCCTAGGCCTTCTCTTACTGAATCCGCTCAACAACGCTTTGAGGCAGGAGCAAATTTTAGCTGCCCCATTTTGCAGATGAGAAGACTGGGTCCAAGATCACCGGGCTGCGGTGGAGCTGGGACACAGGGTCAGAGGGAGCCAGGCACTCCCCAGCCCAAGCCCACTCTGCAAGAGAAGTGCCTTCAAGGTATTTTGTTTATTTACTTAGTCATCTCTGTGCCCAATGTGGGGCTCAAACTTGCTACTCTGAGAGCAAGGGTTGCATGCCCTCCTGACTGAGCCAGCCGGGCGCCCCACAAATTCTTTTAGTCTCCACGAAGGAAGCTCTTATCTATCCAGAAATCTCGATGATCTATCGTTTGTATTGTGCTTTGGGCCATATTCTCAGGAATCCTCTTGATACTCCTTTAAAAGGTAAGAAGTCCTTGTTTTGCAGAAGAAGAAAATGGAGGGGTCACCCGCCCTCCAGCTCTTCCTACCCTGTCCACACTGTGACTTGGAAAGGGAACAGGGTGTCACATTCCCTGGGCCCGAAAGCCATGTCTTCCGAAGTGCTGGGGTCAGCCAGCGAGCACCCAGTGATCACTTGCTGTGAGGGCTGTGGGGGAGGTTGAGGATGTGACCCTTCTGGGGTTTACAGAGGTTTACCTATGCCCTTGTTCTCTGGAGCATCCGTGTCATGCCGTGTAGCACAGGAACTTAGGGCAAGGAGTCCAAAGTCCTGATTTTCATTCCCAGCTCCAGCACATTCTAGCTACGCATTCTGGGGCATAATCATATTGTCACTCTTGGTCCCTCTCTCTCTCTCTCTTTTTTTTTTTTTAAGATTTTACTTACTTATTTGCCAGCGAGAAAGAGATCACAAGTAGGTAGAGAGGCTGGCGGGGGGTGGGGTGGATGGGGGAAGCAGGCTCCCTACTGAGCAGAGAACCCAATGTGGGGCTTGATCCCAGGACCCTGAGATCATGACCTGAGCTGAAGGCAGAGGCTTATCCCACTGAGCCACCCAGGCGCCCGGCCTCAGTCTCTTGTTCTGTGAAATGGCCTGACCGAGTCAGTCCCATCTTCCC